TGGTGGCTCTGGGCGCAGCTGACAGGCTGGTGTGGCTCCGACTGGGCTGCTCCGGTTGGGCGGGTTCCCTGAAGATTCAGCGGTCGTTGGCGCTGCCGGGTGCTTGATGCAGGGGCGGTAGCCAGTCACGATTGCAGCTCGCCTTGTTTCCACTCCTTTCATCTTCGCTTGTATGGGCTTGGATGGGCCTGGCTGTGCGCCATCAAAACTCCTCATCCCGGAGCCCGCACTCATTCTCCATCTCAGCCTGGTGAACTACTGCACTCACTGCTCTGCCACTTGCGAAACCCCCTTGTCCAACAATCTGACGAGCCCGGGGGGCAGGGCTTTGGAGTGCAGATCCAGTTTCCCAGATTTCTCTCTCCTGCGTTCGCACATCTCTCCCATATCCAATTTCCATTACCTGCAAAAGTCGCATTGAGTCTACTTTCGCCACAATCCTCACGACGACGTCCCTCGATACCCCTTGGCCGCCGGGATGCTCTAGCAATTTCTCACTGGGACTTGGTGCTGTCTTCCTAGCCAGCAGCTCGTCGTCTCCCACGCTGTCGCATTCTGTCAGAGTCAATTGTACAGCTCGTCCACCCGATCTTCGTCATGATGGCGAGTGCGCACGCTCATCCTATACCTCCCGCAATCCCGCACGACCTGTTTACACAGGAAGTCCCTCCGTCGCCGACTTTGACAAACCCCGACATGATTTTGCCGTACCAGCCTCACCTTGACTCGAGTCCCAGTCCACGCGCATCTTCGCCAATATTACACTCTTCTCCACTGCCTCTACGTCCAGATTCCGCGGTGTCGCTGGGCTCCTCTCCCGTCGAGCTTGAACCTGCGGTTGAGTTAGGGATTGCGACAACCATTAGGATGCCCTCAAGGGCGGTCCCTCCTATCAGTACCAACTACTACGGGTACGAGCACGGAGCCCCCCTGAGCGATATTGGAGAGGAGGAAACCCCAAAGTCGAAGAAAAGTCGGCGGACCGAGAGCCCGCTCATATCAGACCCTCCTTCGCCATCCCCCGCGGGTCCTCTGCTGCACGCGGCCCGGCGACTGAGCAATCAGTCATCCTCGAGCAATGGCACCGATCTGGGCAATTGGGAGGACTTTGATACCTCCAAGATCATGAATGAAAGGCTGGCCGCAGATGTTGCGAAGGTCCCAGACGAAGAGATTGAAGATCCGGACAGTAAGAGAAATAGCACAGTTACGACAAACGCGGAAGATGAGATGGCTCTCCTCAACGAACGAGCAGAAAGGATTCTTGAACATGCCAGGAAACGACTAACACATATGGAGGATAATCTAAGTAAGGCACGTCACAGCATCCTGTCATCGAGATCCTCACCAAACATGAACGAACTTCACCAACCTGCGGGTGGGCTGTATCGGTCAATCTCCTTGGCCGGTGCGAGTCAACGAAAGCCCAGACCCCTTCATCTTGTCAACAGAACCAATTCAGTGGCACACGCTAGAGGCGGTAGTGATACGACGACTGGAACGTCTGGATTGAAGCGACTTTCCATGATTCCGGAAATCAGATCCGCAAGCGCGTTGGAATATGGACGCAGGCAAGAATCTCCTCAACAATTACTCCATTCGCCCCCATCAAGGAGCGGCCCGTACTCACCAGCGAGTAATCGGAGTTTCAATTCCCCTCTACTGGTGTTGAAGGAGGAAGAAAGCCCTGCTAGCACAACCAAGACGACTCCAGAAACATCAACCCCACGAGGGCTGGGCATCAATACTCTTGCCGCCGTGTCAAGAGAAAATATTTCAGTGGTCACAAGCAGCCCACCTACAGCTCTTGCTCGTTCTTCCTCATCCATGTCAAATCGGTCCACCAAAGAGATTCGAGAACAGATGTCGAATCTGCAGGCCAAAATTTCCGACTTGAAGGATAAAGCACAGGCTGACAGCCTTAGGAGGAAAAGTATGCAGACCACCCGGACGCCTAGCCCCTTTGCGAGTGCGCAGAGTCCTGAGCAGTGGTATGCAAATGCCCCGGAATACAAAGAGGCAGGCAGCCCAATCAACACAAATGCTGGACTCGGCTGGAGTCCGTCCCGACAGACGAAGCCAGTGGACTTCCCAGTTGCACCAGTCACACCGCAGGCACAAACATTACTGAATGTCGAACTCCCGGCGACTAAAGACTCTGGCTTGGTGAGTGAGGCTAGGACAGATAAGAACACCCCGAGTCTCCACAAGTCGATCCATCTCCAGCCAGAGCCTCTCGAAAAGCCAAATTCCATACTCCAGGAGTCGCTCTACGAAGATGCAGCACAGGAATTTGATGATGACGAACCGATTGCCGCTTCGGAGGAAGAGCAAATCTACCTAAATGAAGTTCTAGAAGAGAGTTTGCAGGATCTTGAGCCCGATGTCCCCGAGATCCCCGAACATCTGCTCCCTACCGAAGGTGCCGCAGAACGTCACGAAGACAGGTTAGACGCTTTCGACTATGAGAACATGTTCCTTCATAGTGCGTTGGGAAATTACACCGGGACCGGAATTAGAAGTGAAACTCCTAGCGAGAGTGACTGCAGCAGTGTAACAACAACGCGCATGAACCAAGACACCCCAACAGTAGACGACGACGACGACGACGACGACACAGAAACTCAGATCGACGAGGAAACAAGCACAGATGATACCGCTAGTACTCCCGTCCAAGAGACATTTCTCAAACCCAGAACTCCACCTAAGCAGCCCACTCCACTTGCGGCACCCTCGAAACCGTGGATGAAGGCAGCTCGAAGCAACAGTATCGACTCTGTTTCGACCGTGGCCACCTTTGAGACCGCGACGGAAGGTGCAGGCGATGGTGAAGACGAGGACGAAGACGGGATGCCGGCTGAGATACTGACTTGGGGAACCGGAACGGGTTTCTCTCACACCCCAACGAGCCCAAAACATGAAGGTACAGCTAGTGTGTGGCCAACACCTCCCATGAGCGGCAGAGCTCGACAAGGACCAATCAGATCGCCACGACAGATTCAGACGCAAGGGAGCATCGTTTCTAACGGCATACCGACGCCTCCTGTTCATTCACCAAGCGTTTCTTTTTCCACTCCAAGAGCATACGGGCCGACTAGTGTGCCAAACGAGGTGCCAGTTGATCATCCTGCAAACACTGAGATCCTAATGGAGAGTCTGATCAAGCTGGCAGACCCCGAATTTAGAGTTGGTGATGGACCTGGGTCAGTGACCTTTTCCAACGTCGACAAGGATCTCGTCCTGGATCTCTTGCGGGCTGTGGGTGGCGTCTGCAATGAGATCCTACGGTCCGAAAGGAAACACGAAGTGCATGCCGCAAAAGTCCTCAGGAGAAGACTGGACGAATCAAGGAAGCTCTTGGAAGGCAGAGCCGATGAGTAGACCAAGGACTGTGGGCCGCCTGGAGTGGCATCTTAATCCACGATTCGCTAGCGTTGCGGCTCTTCCATCCTGGGTGCTTTGAACGGGGGGCGGGGGGCCTCTTTGACACAATACGACAATAATTGACATCTGAACATTGGTGGATTCCAAATTATGAAGACATGGGTTGATGCAGAGGAAGACGAAGTGCTGGGTTTCGTGAGAAACGGAAATGTCCCCCTCTATATCGGCCCTACATATATATATACTCCAACATGTTATAATGGACTTACATCACATATGGGTGTCAATGTAATGCACATGACCAGAACTGGCTGCTGCTTTCCTGGGGGGTAATTTTGGAGACAAAAGCCATTACAGGGTCGGGACAAGGCATCCCCATCACAAAGCCGCAATTGACGCAGGCGAGCAAGTCAAGGACAGCTGTCAAAAGCTCTAGGCGACAGCAACTGGGGTGGATCTGGCCTGAGACTTTTCATTCGACCTTCCAAGGGTCAACCCGGTCACATCCAGCAACGAAATCTGAGCTCACATTCTTGGCACAGAGATCCATCCACTCATTGTCGCCTCAGTCATTACCTTCGCTGACAGCTATTTTGCCACGATCGAGAGTCCACAGAGACAGAGAAGGGGTCCCGATCGAACAGAGACCATGATGGAGTTTTGGGGAGGCAAGACATGCACCATGATGGCTTGACCAGTTGAGGTTAGACCTCTGACCGACGAGCCAACTTAGCGGTAGATGAGGCTGGGGAGAACTATGCATCATGGGATACAGCGCCAACGGGAACGATCGATCTCTCCCAACTCCACGATTTTGGGACAACGATCGCAGGCAACAACCAGGGGTATTATGGCCGATAAGCGAATAACAAGAAAGGCCCCCATCCCAGATCTTGCATCTCCCTTTCCGTCGAGTGATTTTAGGATCAACCTGGCTAATTTAGCGACGACAGGTGCAGGTGCAGGTGCAGCTGCCTCATGCTCTTCCGGTCTCAACTCAGGCTTTGCGGCGCTCCCCAGCACAGGCCGATCAAGAGGGAGGACAGAAGGAGGCGTCCTATCCTGGTCTTCATCGAACCCCCCCCAACCCGGGGTTGGACCTTTGACAGGTCTTCGTGCTTCCAATTAGAGACTGCTACCCCCTTGTCCTATGCTTGCAATGGAAGTTCCCCGCTGGCTTCTAGCTCAAACAGGATAACTCTTTATGTGTTGCTATTGATTGAGACCCTCATCAAGTTTCTGCATCAAAGAGGCAGGGAGTCGCCATGCAAAGTTTACCAAATGGCGAAGTGGAGATGTGCTGCCGCAAACATTCATTGTCCAGATCATGCATCGTCCGAAGGCCTAGTGTGAGTTGCTCCTGGGGTACATATACAGCCCATCTGGACGGTTGCATCTCGGCCAAGCCGACCAACCGACGATATCGTGCCTTCAGTCCTAGTTACATGCCTTACTGCGCTTTGGTAGTGCTTCTGTGGACGTTGTGATGGTGATTCTCGCTTGATACTCGACTGGCCTAGATACCTGTGGAACAGAACTCCCCCTCAGCCTTACTCTACTTGGAAAAATGGCTAGTTCAACCCTGTCTTGGACGTTTTACATCTATCTGACTTAATATGCAGGCTGAAAAGAGCATCACAGTGACAGGGCAAGCGGACGGTCGGTCTCAGACCAAGGGTGGCTTGCCCAAAATCACTGAGGTACTAGCCATGCAACTGGCACTGCCTCTGCCTCTACCCCAACCTTGTCTTTGCCGCAGACTCAATCCGCTTCGATCCAACAGCTTGCCCATGCTGGGTGCTGATCAACTCCCTCTGGACCAATTTCAGCCTGCCGAGGATCCTATCTTGTTGTCACGCGAACCAGTTAGAAAGAGTTTAACCTGCAGCATTCCGACCCACGAACAACCCTTGACCCCTCCTCCCTCCGTCAGCAGTCACTCATCTGTATGCTCAAGCGAAACAGATATTGGCGCCGTCGCCCATGCCGGTATCGCCCATCTTCAAACACTGCTCGACCTGCCAGAACCTAAGCTCGCTGATGCTGTTCGTGTAGCTAAAGAGCTGCTTCGTGACTCTGCAGTCATGCCAGCCTATAACCAGGGCTGGTTCCGGCCAAACGCCCAAGACAACAAATTCAACAAACGCATAGAAGATCGGATCGCCGGCAAATCCCTCGATGAACTAGTTGAAGGTTTCTTTCACCGCGACGAGGCTCGGGAGCTTTACGGCGAACGCGTGTCGAAACCTCGCAAGGTCGTGAAGCGAGCCCCATCTGCGGAGAGAGACGGGATGGAAGACCTGGACCCTGAGTTGCGGGCCAAGAAAAAGAGAAGACAAGAGGCCGACGAGGCACACCGAATGGCCGAAAACGACCGGCGAGACCGCCACCGAGAATCTCAAATGGAAAGCCATCGTCGATGCCCCGAGCTGGCGGCAGAATGTGGCGCTGAGCATGCAAAGGCTGAGAAGAAGTCCAAAATCCAATCAGGCAAAGGGCCTGGCAAAGACGATCAGCTCTGGTCAGCCATATACGCCCATGAAATGGCAGGGAGAGTGGTACAATCAGTCAATGACCGGCGCAGACGGGCCGAAGAGGTGGTACAAGTACTGCTCCGGTTCTTGATCCAACAAAAGGACTTGCTGGGTGGTCCTCAACGAAGGTTTAGCGAGAGCGACCCAAGCAGCGCCACCTCTTTCTCCCATCCATGCCATGTTGGTCGGAAGAGATCGCAGGATGACATGGAGCAAGACTTGAGGCGCATCCGATCTAGTTTCTAGTGAGAATCCAATCTCAATCTGGGAGCCGACAGAGGCAGTTCGTATGCCTCTTTTCCAAAATCGTTTCGATTGGGACGATGGATATGGCGATTGTATCGAATGGCAGGTCTTTTGGGTTTGGTCATTCAGCGTTTGATCGACAAACATCCTGGTCGATGGGCAGGAATGAAAAGTATGTTTGGGAACTAATTCTCATGTGCCATGAGCAGGAGAATGTCTTGCGGCTTCTTTAAAGGTCTGAATGGAAAATGAATGCACAGCACCAAGTGTGGCTACAACACGACACCCTCTGGGGTTGTTGATAGCTTGTCTGTCAGTGCCACTGGCTGGCGACAATCACTCGATGGTGACGTACAAAATGTAAGAACCCATTCCGTGGGCATAACTGTGACTCAGTTCTGGGATTCTCTATAATTGACCCGACTCCTCCCTGAACAGACAGCCGCAACAACACCTCAACGGGTAGTGCTCCGTGAAGTAGACGCGACCACGTGCAAGCACGTGTCGCAGTTGGGAACGGAGGTCGGAAAAGGCCAAGTAGCACGCTAATCCAAATCAGGGTCCTTTGCAGCTTGGGGTGCCAGCACCACCAGTAATAATGAGCCTTTTGAGCCTTTAGAGCCCTTGGAGTGCTTGGAGCCAAACCCTCCGAGCCCTAGGTGGTGCTGGTGGCCCTGAACTTCCTAACTGCTGGGGAAAAAAAGGATCAGATACAGACATCCAGATTGATTCGTGTCCGGATCCCTCAACCAACACTCCACTGCCGCAGCCACCGACCCTTGCATCAACTTTGTCAGGCTTCAGATCTCCTCTACCTTGTACACTCTATCACCTCTGATTCAGCATCTCAGAATCTCCTGGCACTCAATCAACCCTTGATTCCCGTCCGAGTCGCGCCCCGGCAGCCCTCGTCCCTAACCGCAACCGCAGCCTGTCATCTCTCTCCTCTCTCACGGCTCAGTCCTTCTCCGTCGGGCCTTGATGCGCAAGGCCATTCCGCTCGTTTCGTGCCATCACAACCAGGAGCGCTGAATTCAATCTGGCCGCGACAACAACGACGTCCTCCTAGCGAGGAGTCTGCCACCTCTCCGCATCGCCGCGCCCATCCCTTGCTCTCCTTTTTCTTCGCCTTCGCCTCTCTCTCGCACCTTTTGATTTTCTTTCTGTACAATACCCCCAGACCGCACGCAAAATGCTTCTACCAAAAGGCGGCGTGACCTGGAAGTCCGCCAAAGCCCGGCTGCCCCCTTGGAAAGCCATAATAATGTTCTTGACACGGACCCGGTTCCTGGTCGCAGTGGCCCTCACGGGCTTGATCGTCTTATTATGGAGGGGGATCAGCGTGTCTACACAGCAGATGTCAAAGTACGGGGGTGATGTCCAAACCCCGAGATGAAAGACTAGAATGGCTGACATTATGTGACTTGCCAGTTTCTATTGCTTCGGTCCTTCGAAGCCTCCCACGCAAATGTCGAATAATGAGCTGGTCGCCTGGAACCAGCACCTCCAGACGCCTGTCCTCTTCAATCACCACGAACCTTATGAAGTCAACGCCAGCACCATCAATCGCATCGATCTCAATCCCATTGTCTCTACACCCCGAGCTCTCAGCAATCGTGAACGCATCCTTATCCTCACTCCTCTCCGCGACGCCGCTCCCTACCTCATCAAGTACTTTGATTTGCTCTCCGAACTCACGTATCCGCACGACCTGATCGACCTGGCTTTCCTCGTAGGCGACTCTGTCGACGACACCCTTGCAGTACTGTCCTCGGAGCTGAACCGCATCCAACAAAGGACCGACAAAATCCCCTTCCACAGCGTCCTCATTGTCGAAAAAGATTTTGGCTCCAAGCTCGACATGAGCGTGGAATCGAGACATGGATTCGCCGCTCAAGGCCCGAGAAGAAAAGCAATGGGAAGAGCAAGGAATTATTTGCTCTCGGCGGCGTTGAAGCCCGAACATAGCTGGGTCTACTGGCGCGATGTCGATATTGTGGATTCACCCAAGAAGATCATCGAGGACTTTGTAGCCCATGATCGAGATATTTTGGTTCCAAGTATGATTTTAACACTATCCGAATTGGCAGGTCTCGTCTAATGCTCGTTGAACAGACATCTGGTTTCACCGATACGAAAACGGACGCGACATTGAAGGGCGCTTCGACTACAACAGCTGGATTGAATCCGACAAGGGCCGTCGTCTCGCCGCTTCGCTCGATAAAGACATTGTGCTTGCAGAAGGATACAAGGAATACGATACTGGAAGAACATACATGGCGAGGATGGGTGATTGGAGAAATAACAAGGATGAGGAGATAGAGTTGGATGGAATTGGTGGAGTTAATATTTTGGTCAAGGCGGATGTCCATCGATCTGGTGAGTATCTGCACCGCCAACGCTCGGATCCAGGGAGATCAAGGTGTGACGTGACTTGCCCGTGCTGACATTTGGATACAGGGATCAACTTCCCCTGTTATGCTTTCGAGAACCAAGCCGAGACTGAGGGTTTTGCAAAGATGGCCAAGAGGGCAGGGTATCAAGTCGTAGGATTGCCCAATTATGTCGTTTGGGTAAGTTTGTGGACCTTTTCCGACCAGCATGTCCCTGTCGTCGTCGTTATTCCCGGGAATTCATTTTACTGATCACTCTTCTCTGCACAGCACATCGACACGGAAGAGAAACCTGGAAATGCGGCATAGAACAGAGTCAGACCTTTTTTTTTATCAAACAGAAAGCTCGAACCCCCCTTTTTTTTTCCCCTACTCTTGAGAGAGAGAGATATGGTACGAACCCGCAAAAAAAGCAATAAACAAAGTGAAAAGTGAGATGGATGTTTTCCCCTCCAAGAGGACCAGGCGTCCTCCACGTTTTAGAAGAACTATCTTAGTTTTGTCAACACTTGAGGTCTCGGGCGGGCGGGATATGAGGCGCGCACGGGGCGGGTTATCATCTCGAGCGGTAGGCCGGGACGGAGCAGGGCAGCGCAGCGCACGCACGCACGCATTTTGAGATACCTACATACGTATGTAGAGGTAGGTATGTATGTATGTAGGTAAGGTACCTTTATGACAAAAAGCGGCAGTAAAGGATTTATTGGGTGAGTGAGAGGGGTAGTGAGCTAAATGTCGCCGCGTGATATCATATGTATTGAGTGCCATGGTCGTTGTCGTTGTGTACACCATCTAATGGGGTTGTCGTGGAAGAGCCAAGGGAGGGAGTTGGTGAGCAAGGGGACTGAACAAAGCGAGGATGATGTGCCCTCCTATTATCTATCTACGTATCTACCTGTCTACCTACCTAGGCACTTACATATATGTACATACCATACAGTAGGTACCTAGCCTAGGCAATAGATAAAGTAGATACCTAGGTAGTCATGGTAGTGGCAGTCAAGAGGTCAAAGCACAAGCCAAGTCAAGACACTCAGGTTTTCATCTCGGGCGACTTGGTATTCCCAGAAATGTCAAAGGCTGATGATCATTTCATATATCAGCGTCAGAGAGTTCAGATGACTACTACAGATCGGACATGGATCCTTCTTGTCCTCGTCCTCATCATCATCGCCTTCGTGCAATATCGACTCCTGTCGCCACACTACTGTGCTCTCGACCATTATTTCGTAGAAAAGGAACATCTTGTGCTCAAGAATAAATTGGAGGAGCCTCGATTCTAATATGTGCCTTCTAAGAGGTCTCACTCTATGCAAACTATGCTGTGCTTCCACTAAAAGTTTTATTGATGCAGGGCAGAAACGCCATCGCTGAAGCTTAAAAGTAGTCCCTCATCACCGTCGCAGATAACCATATAATGGATAGTAGTAGGGAAGGAGAGAGAGTGTGTGTGTGAATAAAGCATGCCAAAGGTAGGTATGTGTTGATCGTTTCTCGCTTCCTCGTATTCCTCCAAAGCAGACCCAAGCTCTCCCGTACCCCAGAGAACCGCTGTCAAGGCCTGGTCCACCATTCATGCATACTTCCATCGACGGGTCGAGCGACAGGCGCCGTTGGCAGGGCAGGTGGCAGGGCGGCTGGTAGAGCGGGAGGCAGAGCGGGTGGCAGAGCGGTTGGCAGAGCCGGTGATAGATAAGGTTGAGTCTGATAGCCTGCATATGGTTGCGGCGCTGGGTTCGTGAAAGGTGCTGGTTGGGGAACTGGTTGGGGCGGATGGCTCATTTCAATCAACTCTGCCATGCGCCCACCAGGGGTTGAATGCTCAATCGGTTCGATATGTTGGTGTTGCAGCACATCCACAGGCATGCTAGTGGATCTAGAAGCATGGGGATGAGAAGTAGTCGTGCTAGCAGGAGTAGGTACATCCAACCGAGGGGACAGCTTGTTTATCGACGAGTTGCTCGTGTTGCTTTCTCGGGGGGATTGTGATCCGCTAGGGTTTCTGAGACTGCTGCTCCTGCTTACCGGCGGCGCATAGTCGTCCCAGTTGCGCCGGCTCACTCTTAAGGGTTGCGGCAGCCCTTCATCCCAAGTGCTCCCCGTTTTATGAGATGGTAGCGGTCTCAGGCCTGTGCCAGACGTCACTTCAACGCTGGTTCGCCTCTCCGGAATATCATCCCATGCTTCTTGGGGGCGCCAGCTCGTCCGAGCGTCGTTTGCTTCTTGTTGGTCGCGCAGAGTCAAGATGGGTTTGTCGTAATCCACCACTGACCCTGTGCGTTGTATATCGAGAGATCTTGATTCCCTGCTTATCTTTCGCTGCTCATCATACTCGTCACGGAGGCCTTCCCATCGTTCATAGTTTTTCTGCCGCTGCTTTTCTCGCCGGTGCTGCACGATGCCCTTGTGGCCCAGCCAAATAGAGCCAAAGATTAAGGATGTCATGGTGGCTGACTTCCGTTACCTTTCGACTGCCTCGGGCACTCGGGTTACCTCGCCGCAATTGGAGAAGGGTGGGGTTCGGCAGTTCTGGAAGATAGAGCGGGTGTTGGATAAGTGTTGACAGAACAGGCTCGTACGATATGGAGGGAGAGAGGTTGGCTACGGGTTGTCGTCGCAGAAAGTGGTTGCCTGGGAAAATGCCCTTTTGAGAGCTGATATCGTAGTACAGTCAATATCGAGAGACAGGTATTGATAAAGCGACGAGATAAGGATCTAATTGCGTCGGAAGAGAGCAGGGCGAAATCAAGAGTGGTCGGTGTATCAATCAGGTTTTCTAGGAAGGTTGAAGAGTAGTATATTGTCAGGGTGGATGACGAAACTGAAGTCTGGGGAGAAGATCGTGAAAGTTATTGTGGGAGGCGACAAGTCTTAAAGTGATGATATGAGGTGCCTGCCCAACACTGACAAAAAGCGATGGGACACAGCCACAATAAGATCTCGACAGTTGTGCCCGTTTTCGTGCTCGTTTCACAGCAAAGACGCCTATTCGTGCAGACGGAGTTTGTCCCTCAAAAAGAGCCTAAGTACAAGTAGTAGATTTTGGTAGAGTAGCAGCAGGCGACTTCGACTGTCTTCTACGAGTAAAGAGGAAGGAATCACGCGACGGAACGAGTGGCCGTGTCCTTTTGGGGTGGCAGGTCCAGCAGGTCCAGGCAATCAATGACCTGGAACGGCAGGGACTGTGGTGCCTGGCATGCCGGGCCAGACTGCGATTTGCCATGATTTGTCGATAGAGTGCCTCTGAGCTTCCTAGCTGATCCGCTGCTGAGATGGTGATTCGATCCTTTACCGTTGGTCCAAGTAGATGATGCGCGCCGATGAGGTCAGCAAAGCCTCCCACGTCAGATCCCTGCTCTTTTGCTCCTTGTCCAGTCTGTTTCCAAAGATTCGCTACCCACGCACTACTTGTATTTCTCCTGCCTCTTTTTGCTTCGATGCGACACGGCTCCTGCTCCGTTGATGCCCGCATCAGGGAGAAGGGGGGTTCTTATCGCTCTGTGTGCGCAGTTTGGAGTCGTGGTTACCCGTACTCGGTAGTTGTGTTTGACGGAGGATTATCAGACTTGGAAGAGGAAGGCGAGAGGGCCACGTTCGGCGCGAAGTGAGCCGGACCGCGATCGCGGAATCATCTTTCGGAATTGCAAATCTGCCTCTCAAGCCGAAGGGAACGGCGTGATGCGCGATATTGATCGCGTGCAGAAGCCACTGGAAGATGAGAAGAAATGAATGTCGTCAAAGAGTGATTATTGCGAAGAATGCGCATTCCACAGGCGATATACTTGTATACTTGGACTTGCACAAGAATATTCCAAGTACAAGTAGTTGCAAGTAGAAGTGCTTGTGTCATCCAGCAATTACTTGTATCAGTACTAGGTCTTGTTTACAAGGAGGCATAGGTCAGAGTTACAAGTCTAGTACTGTCCACGGGTGCCCCGGCCTCCTCCCCTCTTCGGACAATAACACACGGTTTGGGACATCTACTCAGCGCCGTCCGCAATCAGTCAGAGATTTGCCATCCATGGCAAATTCCCCCAGATGCTGATGTAAACCTCTCTCCTTGCTGAGGTACTCGTAGTGGGACTGGCATTCATACTTGGTATAGTGTGTGTCGGGTGGTGTGAGCATGTGAAATGCGGAGAAAGATCCCTCGCCAAAATATTGGACTTGCCCAATCATGCACAACACTCCGAGTCAAGGATTCCTTTGTTCACAACTTCTCGTTCTCGCATTCTGGACTCTACATCTTAATTCCAGCTCTCTAGTCATCCTATCGTCTTGAATAAATCGGGCATAATGGCTCGTATCGTGAAACCAAAGGGCTCCTCTTGGAACCCGCGTGTACGTTTGTCCGCTTCAGCTCGTGTGATTAGCTCTTCTGTCGTCCCAAGCTGATCCCTGCCCTTTAGGCTATGACTGCGCCTATTGCAGCCGTAGTCATGGCTGGCCTCCTCTATACCTATGCAGTCACCTCGATACGGGCCGCGAAACGGAACGCGAAGCTCCATCGAGAAGCCGACGGCGGGCAACTTGATATGCGACGAGAAAGCTTGCGCAGACACGGTATGATGGATCCCGTGCAAGGCACATCGGGCTATGAGCTTTTCAGAGATGCGAGAGCCGATGCCAAACAAGAGACGAAGTTTCTAAACGAGAACAAAGCACGGCCATTGGGTACAGAGCAGAAGGAAGAGACTGGCACGCCGCGGACTGAGAACGAAAGTGTGCTTGAGAACTATCGAGGCTCGGCCGCCCTGCACAAGCTGAAGGAGGGCCAAAAACGAGAATAGGTACGGTGCCTGACAATTGCTGTTTGTTCGGAAGAAGTCTCCCCCTTGCGCAAGTGTGCGCGCACCAATTTGCCCTCAGTAGCAGAATACCCCTAACACCCACGGTACAGGAAGGACTCCTTGAGGATTGCTTTCATTCCTCAAAAGTCTCGTCGATTCCCTCTAGAAGCTGGAGGAAGGCCCGCCTTCGCTTGAAGCAAAGCGAAGACAATTCCACAAAACGCATATGCAGACTGTTCCTAGACGGTCGGGAGCCAGAGATCGTGGCCAACAGACAGACCAGATCGTGCTGGAGTTGTGCGTGCTACCGGTGGACGAACACGACTATCTTCTGGACAAAGACCCTGTCGAAGGTAGAATCTACCATTCTCAATGCCAAACACTTCTGGAGGAAGTGTCCCTGGTTGTTACCACTAATGGATAAATCGAAGATCAGACAATGAGTAAGGAGAATGCCGCTATTGGGACGAACAACCAAAAGGAGGTCGATGCCTTCACCGATGCCTTCAAGTCAAAGTGTTACCTCTGCGTGTTCAGTGGGGCCAAATCAAAGCTTTGTGGCGCACGCGTCTGGCAAGGCTTTGGCCTGTATGACGCCGAACTTGAAGAACTTGCGGTTGAGGTTGGGCTATGACCCACGGTAGGATCCTTGGACAGTCTGACATCGCTGTCCCTGGCAATATCTGGGGCTCGAAGCTTTGCCGTGATTGCTACAACAGTTACAATGCCCGCCCTCAATGACGTTGGCGTCGCCTGCGAGGACCGTGGCCCTTGGTTTCATCCTTGTAAAAGAGGCTGAAGCACCAACGAGATGCTGGTGGCTGAGGAGATGCGCATATAGATCAAAGGTAGACAGCGACACATGTGTTGTTAGGAAGTCAGAGGTTGCGGCACCAGACTCACAGAGTTGCTTCACAGAGTGATTCTGACCGGTCGTACTATTAGACAATGGGCGCATTCAACCAATTCTCATCCCGGATAATACATGCGGTAACTTTTTCGCCTGTAAAGGCTTTCGTGGCCTGGGCTCACCAGGCGTTGCACCAAGAAAAGCAACTAAGCCCGAGGCTTAAGAACCAAGCCGAATTTCTCCACGCCCGGAGAAATAGGGGCCGTTGGGGGTTCGTGAGGCTCGCTTACGAGTATGGATGGAGTTAGGCTGCTAACCAACCCGGGGATCCCCTGAAACGATGACACTGGGAGGCACGCGAGGGAAACTCACCGCCTCGCCTTCATCCCTCAGCTTCAACTACGAGTACCACTGGACTACCTGACTACCTACGTACCGCCTAGGTAAACTGCCTAAATACTCGTCCCGGATATCCAAAACAGTATGTAATGAAAATCCAGGCCGTAGAGGGGACTTCCCCACAGTTCAGCAGCTCCGTCGCTCATCGTCTGCCTTATTCCTCTTGTGCCAACCTCCATCCACCAAACGGATGCGAGCGCGAAGAAATGCCAACCGATCGAGATCCCCAGACGTCTTCCCTTTGGCCTACCCTTTACTCCTAACATGTTAGCGTTTCGGCAAGGGAGCTGGCGGACGCCCCAATCGGTGCCGGTGTCGGTCATTCTCTCGCCCCTTTCCCACCATGAAGAGAACCAACGGCGAAATGCCTTTGACGGCTTCCCATCTCCTTTCCCTGGCGGAGATGAGGCGCAGTTACGAGGCCATGATCTGCAAGTGCCGAATTGCATCAGCTAAAGACCTTACCTTACTTGCTACACTCTTTTCTACCACGTCTTTTACCGTTGTGACAATTGTCCGCCCTGCCTCTCGACTCGACGCAGATGTTGACAATATCGCGGGGAATCACTGTGCTTGGAGGGGCTTTCCAGCGAACATGACGGGGTTCAATAATACCCGTCCGCAGAAACCGCAGCGAGCATCGATCGATTGTGTGGAGGAACGGCAAGTGCTGCAATGCTCATGGCCCCAGACAGAGGCCCAGCCACTTCGGCTGTCCCCATAGTGGTGACGGTTCTGGCTACGGTTTTCGTCGCGGCTCGCTTTTACACTCGGGCCTGGCTGGTCAGATCTATCAAACAAGATGACTGGTGGATTCTGGCAGCATGGATCTTTGCCGTGGGATTTTCGACATCGATATGCGTGGCGGTGAGGTATGGACTGGGTAAACACAAGCAAGACATCCCCGATGACGACTTCAGCGCTCTACGGAAGGCCGAGTATGCCTTTGCCATCCTCTACAACCCATCTCTCATGCTGACCAAAACATCCATCATCGTCTTCTTCCTGTCGGTGATGAGCAAGGATGTCGATCCTGTCTTCAAATGGTGTAACTGGTTGACTCTTGCTGTGGTCAACATTGCCGGAACCGCTCTCACCTTTTTCAACATATTCCAGTGTTCGCCAGTGGCAGCAGGCTATCTGTACCCTCAACCCGAAAATGCCACGTGCACCGATATCGTCACACTGTACCTCTCTTCAGCCCCTCTCAACATCATCACGGATATTGCCATTTTGTTGCTGCCAATGCCAATCCTGACCGGCATGCGATTGCCACGGAAGCAAAAGATTATCCTGGTTGCAACTTTCTCCTTTGGTGCCTTTGTCGCAGTCGTCGACGTTGTTCGCATTGCATACCTACAGGAAGCTTCGCTCAACCGACTAAAAGTCGTCGACGGTACAGGCGGGAATCCAAGTCGCATTGTTGAAGACAATGATTTCTCTTGGTATGCAAGTTTGAGCTTCATGTGGTCGGCTGTCGAAGTCTGCGTCGGCATCATCTGCGCTTGCGTACCCAGCCTGAAGCCTCTGTTTGCCCGCTTTTTACCAAGCTTCATCAGAGATGTGGGGGACGAGCTGACGTCCAGCAATAGTATTGACCTGGGAAAATCAAAGGAAAGTGGTCGACCAACGGATTTGCCCAGAGGCAATGTGTCCATGCTCAACAACCCGGCTGCGTTCAGAAAACCCGTTGTCAAGGAATACTCAGGAGAGGAGGATGGTGGCAAGATGGGATTCCTCAATTTTTTGGCCGAGCCAAACGTGGGTGAACACGCTGGACCTTCGTTGGCAAACACTGCAACACTCACACGAAGCGTGACGGACAAGAGTGCCGTTTCAAATTTTGGGTTTGTAAAGATGTCGGGGAAACGCAACATGTTGAAACTTTCCAATCGACAAAGCGCCTGGCCGATCGCAGTGGTCACGGTCATCTTTTTCTTGTGGGGATTCGCCTACGGGCTCCTGGACACCCTCAACTCACAGTTTCAGTCTCTGGCTAAAATCTCTACCAGCAAGGCCCTGGGTCTTCATGCGGCATACTTCGGCGGCTATTTCGCGGGGCCTTTGACCCTGGGTCACTATATCTTTCGCCGATATGGCTTCAAAGCAATTATGATTGCGGGCCTGGCCGTCTACGGGTGCGGAACATTAGTGTTCTGGCCGTCGGCAGTCTTGCTTTCATATTCAGCATTTATTGTATCCAACTGCATTGTTGGATTCGGCCTTTCGTGCTTGGAAGTCGCAGCCAATCCGTACATCGCTCTCTGCGGACCGCTTGAGTATGCGGAGGTCAGGCTGAATCTTTCGCAGGCCTTTCAGGCCATCGGTACAGTCTGTTCGCCGCTTCTGGCCACAAAAGTTCTATTCAGGAGTGTGAATAATGCCCCCTCTCTAGTGGATGTGCAATGGACGTATCTAGGCATCGCTTTGTTCGTCTTCGCATTGGCCGTTGTCTTCTACTATATACCGCTTCCTGAGGCCTCCGACGAACAGTTGGAGGAGCTCGCCGACCAACGCCATTTGGTGTATGCTGCCAAACTCGGTCCTTGGAAGGTGATCTATGTGACGCTCGGGCTCGCCGTCTTCAGCCAGTGGTGCTATGTTGGAGCGCAGGAATGTGTCGGAAACAATATACAGAGGCTGATCACAACTGTTAAGCCAGCCTCAAGTCTCCGTCCATTCGACTTCTCAACCGTGGGCCACACAGTATTTGCAGTTGGACGTTTTGTGGCCGCTTTTCTCAACTACGTACTAAAGCCCAGATGGATTCTGCTGGGTCTCTACACGGGCCTCATCGTCTGCCTGGCTCTTAGCATGCGCCTGGATGGAGACGCTGGGGCCGCCATTGCGATGCTCACCTTCTTCTTCGAGGCCGGCATTTTCTCCATCATCTTTGCTGTCGCCATGCGTGGCCTTGGGAGGCATACAAAGGCCGGGTCGGCGCTGATGACGGCTGCAATATCTGGTGGAGCTATCTTTCCACCTGTTCAATGGGCGGTTGCAAATGGTTCCGGCACACGTTACTCGTACTGCGTCCCGCTGGCTGTTGCTGCCTTTGGAATGCTGTTCGCGATCTACCTCAACATGATCCCGCAGGCCGGAACACAAGTTGACCCAGTCCATGTGGACCGGATCAGACGGCGCACAGAACGGGGGACTGAGCGCAACAAGTCTACCCCTCGAGAAGACGAAGATCTACAACGATTCGGCCTATCTGGTATCATTGCGCGACGGAGACGGAAACAGCAGCCGGGGTCGGCATCTGAGGCACGTCTTGAACGGCAAAGCACACAACCGGAAGATGCGCCAGACTCACCAGTGCTTACAATGGACTTTGCGGAGAAGAAGAGTCACGTCTCCAAACCTATGCCTGCGCAAAGGAAGCCATCCAAAGGTCATGTTGCAGAGCTGGCTCTGTGGCCCGTGCCTGAAGGCGAATCCGAAGCCAATCGTGGGCAGCCCGATGCCGGTCCACGCAGAGACACGGGCTCTGCCATCACAGGCCACACAAACAATGATGAAATCGACGTGATGAGCCGTCGACACCGACCTGTCTGGGATGACTACGGCCAGGATGATGATCTCGACGACTATCATGCGATTGTGAGGAAGATATGAACAAGGTTGCTCGGCCCAGAGCGGTCAAGTGGGCGCTGTAAATTGTTTTTATTTGCTGCGTTCAAGCGAAACTGTTTGGAGGGGCGCTCGCAGTTGGGACTTTTTTTGATTCTGCGCGGTTTCTCGAAGTACATCTCTGTCGATAGGTAGCAGCAATGTGACTGGGTATTCGTTGCCATGTCTGTTCAAAATAAAAGGCATCAGGCCTAGAGTCTGTGCACGCTTTCAAGCCCACGAAATCCCCGAGTGTCAGGCTCAGAGTCTACCAGAGGTACCTCGTACTCGGTACTCGATCAGTGAGTCGGTACAGTATGAATCACATGAAGAGGCGAACAGAAGGACTGGAGGTCGGTAAGACGGAACGGAAGGAGGTAATACTCGTATGTATAAGGTCCACGTGACCTGTGGTTGGGGTTCAGGGCGAGGCGAGGCGAGACGAGCCGAAACTTCACTCGACATGACGACTTGAAGCCCGCAGGCATGCCATCTGCCATCCCAGCTACATATATACCTGCATGTACATACATGTACGCATGTATCTCGATCGGAGTGTCGAGGGGTCCAGGTGGCATGTCAGCTCTGCCTTTGTCAACATACATTTCCCGAGAAATGTTTTTGTTGGTCCGTCTATCCGCCTGATGGAGAAGACGGGAGACAGGAACATCACAGCACTGGAAGGGGTGCTGTGAAGGTTGTGGTGTTGACATGCATGTGCGTGCGCACTGCGCGCGCGGTAGAGCCATGATGGGTCACGGCACAGCACACAGGGACAAGGTCATGGTAAGGTAAGGGTCACTTCTGCTTGCTGCCGGATACTCATAGAGATCACTCGTTGGGAGCTTGCTACAGACCCACCGCAACTGCTGTTTGCTGTTGAAACAAGTCTCAAGACTACTCGGTATATCTCTGATCTATGTGATGGACAAGGGAAGTCTTCCGTTCCATTACAACCGAAAAACCCATGTGCAGGATGACAGCATGGGAGAAGCAGGGGTGCCTGAAAGCTGATGAGTTCTCGGCCACGAAGGATTTGAGAGAAAGCCGGCAACAGCTCAAATCCCGAGGGTTTCGCGAGCGGCATCTACCACGGAGGAACTCTTGACAAAATGGTGAGACCCTCTGAATAGAAGCGATGAGCGGCGGCGCAATGGAAAGGACTCGTCTGCTCTCAGAGCAGGCGCACAAGGCACCGCTCACGCAGCAGCAGTCGCATCGCATCCGACACTGCGAATCCAGCCGACCCAACTCAGTCGCCAACGGAAAAAAAAATGAAATGCGCGGTGGCGTGAGATGCTTGGGAGGATGACGAGCGATTGCATACTGTTGAGGCTGCGTAGGATACAGAACAGCAACGATATACCGATTTGAACAAAGCGAGGATATCGACTCCACCGAGGTGCGTATTCTAGCTACTCGTAATCGATAACGGACGAGACCGAACGAACGGTTTAGCGACGGCTTAATATACCGGAGGTCGCACCGAGGGAGACAGACGTATCTGGGTCCATAATGAGATAGATAGGCGTGCTGAAAAATTGTGTTGTCGTTCTAGACACTGCGCACGATGGTTTGTACGGGAAGAGCGGACACCAGAAGTTAGTTCGGATAGCCAGCACGTGGAAAACCCAGCTATACGGCAGAGTTTTGAATTTCTCAAAAAATCGGCTCGGTTTCGAGTCAGCGGGACAATCGGATTGGACGGAGGGTCGCTCGAGACACCCGGATTCAACCCGTCCTGACGGCAATTGCGCACGCTTTTGGACTCGGCGCCATGAGTAAACCGCAGGAGGAGCAAGCATCAATGCTCAGAAATGCAGTTGACCATGTGCAGCCAGGCGCTGGAAGCAGTCCGGACATCTGGTGGGGACAGGGTGTAATCCAAGAAAGTCTTCGGGCGCAAGCCTGTACGAGTGGTATTCCTTACTGGGCAAAAGGATTTTCTCTGCTACGGTTCCTGCATAACGGCTCTGGGTGGCTATTTGCCGTACCTGGGACCTGTCCGTGCATGGGCATCGTTCCCACTCTCTCGCCTTCTTGGAGTCGCATTGATTGTGAAATTTTTTTCTGAATGCGGGTAGTGCCCCATTGGATGGTTGTGTAGAATTCCGTTAGCGAATTGACGATCGGCTAAAACGGACAGGAACTAAAGGAGGTCTCGTCCTGGTGCATACATGTTGGGAGCAGAACGTGGCCGCGTGGCAGCAAGTTTGCTGGCTGGCGACGTGGACGCATCTCCTTTCGACATTTGCAGAAGCATTAGATATTTAAGGAGGACAGACGCAGGTCTTGCTGGCTGAAAGGGTGCCGGTTTGAAACACGTTTGTTGGCTTGCAGATTGGAATTGAGGACTGTCCATGGGTCCAGGGGTGCAGAGTCTGACAGCAAAGTTTGACAAGCGAGTGAAGATGCCAAGCGGCAAAAGGCCAGGCACAAGCAGGTACCAGGAGAAGATGTGATCACGGCTTGACTCCTTGAGGATTAGGTTCGGTTGTACCTGAAGACACGTTTTTGGGCAGCAAATCGGGGGATGAGACAATGGCCAGTTGGGTGCGGGTGGAGGGCACAAAGCCTAAAGTTGAGCAGGGGGCCATCCCTTAGTTCCCCTGGGCGTCCCTGGGCTTCAACCGAAGGGTGGTGGGGGGCTGTCGTTTCGAACGGGCGCCACCTACGAGAACGAGGACTTCGAGGGACCAAAGCAATAATTATCGAAAGCCTCTTTCTGCTCAAAGTGGACGTGAAGTGGGTCAATGGGGCGCATCCCAGGTCCTGGCGTTTCTCCCGAATTTCCCACGGCCCTACCGTAGCCTCCATCACCTCTGACTGCGAGTCTCCAGCCTGGTCATCTCTGGTTCGCTCTGCGCTGAAGCACTTGCGAGTCGTCGTAGCTGGCAAGCTGACAATGCGACCCCAATACTCCCCTGTATCAGAGTGGCACTTTACAGCACCGCAGCCCTCATCACGACCGACGACCCACGATCCATTGACCCACGTCCCGCGATCCGCAATCCGCAGCCCGCAACCCAAAAATGCTCGACCGGGGTGACCAGAGCACCAAACAAAGGGAATGCAAGGAGATGGAGAAGCAAAATAAACATCACAAAGGGCTTGCAGACGGCGAGATGCCAGATGCCTGGTGAAGGGATGCATGGACCAATAACCACACGCGTCGATTCCTCTTCCCTCCCCCCCCCTGTCACTCCCTTGATGGGGATTCTTGCGAGGCCTGGATCCCGATGCAGAGTGACGCCGTGACTTCGACTTGTTGAACAAACAGCTTTTCTTGACTACTACTCTTCTCACTCTCCATCTCTTGCCTCTCGTTCATTCCACCCGCTCACTCTTTTCTTATTGCTCCGGAAGAGGATTCGATCTCACCAACAAAAAATCTCTTCCTCTTCCCTGTCACTCATTGCAACCTTTTCTTTATCTACCCAGTCCCTCTTTGTTCTCTCTCCCGGACCTGGACATATCTTTCATCCAGTCCTTCTCAACCATCTCTCCTTTGAGCCATTCACTCACCGGGCTAGTCCCTCTTCACCTCGAATCTCAGTCCTTTTCTTTCCTGACACAGGCTTGTCATCGGCGACAGTATCCCCCTCAGCGCTCAAACACTCCTTTCAGAGATCCAAGACGTTAAGCCGTTCCTCGAAACAGCGCTTTTCCAAAGGCATTCTTTATCCTTCACTGTCGAGCCAGATCTCCAGTCAACCTTTTCGACTTCGAAACATACTTCTGTCGCAATGGCCGGACTCAAGCAAATCGTTCTCGCGGCTTCGCTGCTGACCTCTTTGGTTGCGGCTGTCCCAATGCCCGACAAACGCGCCATCTACACCAACACCGTGACCGAGATCGCATGGGTGACTGTCGAAGAAACCACCACCATCTGGGTTGACCCATCGGATCCCACTCCGGCTCCCGCTCCTCCTGCTAGCACTACCAGCAGTGTCCCAGCCGCTGTTTTCGCTGCGGCAACTAACACTCCTTCCACCCTCGCAACTGCTGCTGTCGTGCCCGTGGAGGCTCCATCGTCGTCGTCATCATCGTGGTCGTCTGCTGCCGCAGCTCCTGCTGCTTCTCCAGCTACTTCTGCTCCCGCTGAGGTACCTGCCCCAGCCCCAGCTCCGGCTACGCCATCGCCACCTCCTGCAGCTCCCACCTCTTCTGCAGCCCCGTCCACGATCAATGTCCAACCCAAGGACACTGTCGGCACCGACGGTACCTGTGAGGGTTCGGGAGATGCATGCCAGGGTGATGTGACCCATTGGGATGGAGGTAAGTCATGAATCATTTCTCAAATTCGTGGACTCGCGCTAATTGATTCTCCAGGCCTTGGTGCATGTGGATGGAACGTCGACACCAGCACCGATCTCCAAATTGCCCTCCCTTTCGCCTTCATGGGAACTCAGTCCAATGGCAACCCATACTGTGGTCGCTCCGTCACCTTGCTCAACCCCACCTCGGGAACCACTGTCCAGGCCACTGTGGGTGACAAGTGCATGGGCTGCGTCGACAGAGCCATCGACTGCACCGATGCCTTGTTCACTGCCATTACCGACGGTCAGGGTGATGGTCGCATGTCCGGTATCCAATGGTGGTTGAACTAGGTTCTTCCCACCCCAGTCATTCCTTTATTGGTATTGAAACATCGAGGTCTCGCGTATGATTTGCCGAGCAAACATGTGCAGAGTCTCGGTGCAAATCAACCGAATTCACACTCAGAGTGCTTCCGGGAAGCTTTTTTGTCACAATATCGACACCAGTGATGCAACAGAGAACGCCACAAGGGGTGTATGGTCTGGACACACTGTCTCAAGTTTCCAGCATGATGAGATTGTAACGAAAATTATGAACACAAACAAAAAGCATAAGGCTGAACCTGTGCGAGCCATGGTGCAACGGCGGGGATTGGAAACATTTTTATCTTCTTGCTTACCTCTGTATCGGTCTTTATACCGGTATGGCTGGCCTTTAGGTGGGATTGGAGGCGTTCTGGATTGGATACAGACCCTAGAAAGAACGGTACATACCATAGGTAGCAGAGCCTACCACAGGAGAGCCAATCCAATTCAAGGATTTTGCCTCATGATTTGCCCACGTACGTCAACTCATTAATTCTGTAGTGCCGTAGTGTGCAAGTGTGTTTTGGTAAATGAAGGTGAAAGAAGAGAGATTGTTTGTCTATGACTCAGAGACGAGAGTAGATAAGAGACGAGATGTAGAAGAGAGAGAGAGGTGAGGTTCAACCCAAGCTTTTTTTGCTTTGGCCCTGGGATCTGCAACGCATATCGCCGCACGATGGTTCATGGGTCGAGGCCTCGCCAAAACTTGGTTTCTGTGATGATGATCATCATGACGATGCTGACGACGAGCCGAGGTCAAAGGCCAAAGGTCAATTGCATGGGGCAGGAGTATCCTCTTGTAGGTACCAGTATCGTGCAAGGTACAGTGACAGTGACAGTGATAATGATATAATAATACATATCGTTGCTCGTTGCTCGTGTGCATGGGCGTGGGCGTGCGCGGAGACGTATGTAAATTGTAGGTAAATGTAAAGTAACTGTGCATTATTAGGTCTGGACCTCGTACCCCTCTTTCCGTATCCCACCAACCGTTGTGTACTTCGTACTGCCACACTACCTACCTCCCCTTGCTACCTACGTGCTAACCAAGATTTCTGAACACAAGGACATACGAGGACCATCGCGAGTACATGGAGTGCATACAAGAACAAAAACGCCAAACCACATGGACTATTTACCCGGCGTGCCCGGTTAGGTTACTCTCGTGCTCGGTGCAAAGATATGTGCATATATACCTTGTATTTGTAGGTGTACCGAGGACTTGTGAATGTACCCCGCAAACGAGTATAAAATTGCACGATCTCTCTCTATCTCTGTACTGCTCGAAGTAGTATTCATGTTCATGTTCAAGATCCTAGAATGCCTCCATTCGGAGAATAGACTTATGCCAGCTAGATGAATCATCTACCCGACACAGCCGATCATGTCAAGCGGGGGATCACCCTACCCGAGGGCAAGCAAAAGTACCCAACTGGCCAAGTACCGTGTTAACATGATAAGGGAATGTATAGGTTCCCCTGTTGAGAAAAGTCGCTTGTCGCTTGTTTTCCTTCTCTGGCTCTCTCATGGTTCCATTGCATGATCGAGTCTCGCGGCGTGACCGGGCCTGTGCCGTGCGTACATCGCCTTTCTCCCCCTGCTTGCATTCTTGTCACTGTGCATCGAGACGTTTTCCGGATGCGGGAATAGCAACGCTCTTTCACCGCTGGAGACTAATGGTGTTAGGTAGGTGGACTCGGTAAGTGGGAAGGGGGAAACTTTTGGGGTATTCGTCTACGCGACACTGGTATACCTTGAAAAGAAGAGTCGTTGTCGTTTCATTGTCTCTTGAGAAATTTCCAAAGAAAATAGGTCTGTCGTACGACTTGTACCGATTCACAATATCTTTTCGCGTGTGAGGGCATACAGTCGCGTTGATACTCGGCTCTGTTGAAACAAGCAACCGTGTCTCCCAACTTCCGCAGTAACGAGTACGACCGATAAATCCTACAAGATACCCCCAACAATGCATCTTGTTCTCTCTCGCATCGAGCCGAAGGACCTCGATGCCATCGTCCCCCTCCTGTTCAAGTCATTCCACAAGATCGACCTCCCGCATATTTTCTTCGGGCGAGAGTCTCCTGGAAGTTATGCACATACCAAAAGAATACTCTTGGACGGCATGCAGAATGACAAGACAGACGTGATTCTCAAGATTGAGGATCTGGACGCCGAGGTCGACGTGAATGTGCTTGATGAACAGGGCAATGCGACGGGGACGGAGCGGAGGAAAAGAATTGTCTGTGCGAGCAATTGGAAGATCTCACCCACCTACGTGCCATCCAAGAAGCTGCAAGCCGCAACCAAGGACGAAGGCGAAAAGACAGAGGCAGAGAAAAAACCCGCCTTTGCCTACCTCGAAACCGAGCAGGAACGGGCTGATGCCGCTCTCTTAATCCAGGACTTTATCGCTCGGCGTCGTCGCGAGTGCACGGAAGGTCATGTCCTCTGCTTCCTACTCTTCACAGATCCAGATTATCAAGGGAAAGGGTGCGGACGGATGATGATGCAGTGGGGGAATGATGTGGCTGATGCGTTGATGCTGCCTTGTTGGATCGAAGCTTCTCCCGAAGGCGAGCTGCTATACAAGCAGATGGGATACGAGGGGAGGGAGAGGGTGAGGATGGAGACGAAGAGCTTTTTGAGTGAGTATCTACACATGCGACGCCCAGCGATGGTAGGGAGGATTCGCCAGGAGGGGAAGACATGGGTGAGAGAGCGGGTGGAAAAGATAGAAGGCGGTGACGCATGAAGCCGAATGTATCTTTGTTTGACCAACGTCTCGTAGAACCCATTGCCCTTGATGTGCTGAGTTCGTGAAACCCGCTACATGTTTGCTGGGAGGAAAGAAATGTTGTTAGTGGATGAAGAAGAAAGGGAAAAAACATGTGCTGGGTACGTCATTTCATCCTCTCAACTCCGCAAATTTCTCGTTCCTCTCTGCCGTCGTGTGATCGGTGATTCGATCCCCCGAAATCTGGTGATCAGATGCTACAGGCGATCAATCTTTCTTGGTGCTTGACCCTGAGCTTGACGGTACCTCAACGCTGCTGCCCAGGTTGAAATCAACATCTCTCTATCGTCTATGTCGCGACAGTAGCTTTTCACACAACTCGCTCATGCGAATCAACAGCAGCCCCCTCGCCTTCGTCCGAGGCCGCGCCACCTGGACCTGCCCTCGCTGTAAGAACCTGCAGAAGCCTTTCGAAAAGCTACGGAGAGGCTTCAACTCGTATGGCAGACCAATCAAGGTCGTGAGACCGCGCCGGGTCGTGTATTGGGCAGCTGCAGGTGGATCAGCAGGCACCGGTCTGCTGTTATTCGGCGATGATATCAAGCATGGCTGGCTCGCCGCAGAGAGGACTGGAAGGGTGGTTACCACCTTAGCGGCGTGTATAAACGAGTATGGCATTCTATCGTTCTAGGTGGCTTAGAGGAGTAAAGGCTGACAGATGCAAGCTATCGTGTAACCCTCAACGAACAGCACGACGATCCGGAAGAGCACACCAGAAGTCTCAAGGCTTGTCACAAACGATGTGCCGACCGAACGCTGAAGGCCATGGAGGCGAATGGGTCAATATTCATCAAACTGGGCCAACACATCTCGTCCATGGGATATCTGTTACCTACCGAATATACCGAGACCTTCGTCCCCTTGCAGGATAAATGCCCTGTCTCGTCCTACGAGTCAATTGAAGAGATGTATCTGAGAGACACGGGCCACCGAATAGAGGATCATTTTGACGACTTCACGAGAGAACCCATTGGCGCGGCCTCGTTGGCGCAGGTGCACTTGGCCGTGATGAAGGAGACAGGTCAGAGAGTGGCGGTCAAGGTGCAACATCCCAGCCTCGAAGAGTGGGTGCCGTTGGATCTGGCCCTGACAAGATTCACCTTCCGCACATTGAAGAGAGCCTTTCCCGACTACGATTTGGAGTGGTTGAGTAATGAGATGGACTTTTCTCTGCCACAAGAGTTGGATTTCAGACTCGAGGGCCAAAACGCAATGTATGCGAAGCAGTACTTCGAACGACACACCAGTTTTCCACTCGTCATACCTCAGGTGATCTCGGCCAACAAAAGAATTCTGGTCATGGACTATGTCATGGGGGCGAGGGTCGACAACCTACCCTACTTCAAAGAGCACAATATTTCACGAGCCGAAGTGTCGGCGACGCTGGCGCGCATCTTCAACGTCATGATCTTTTCGAAAGGCGCCCCGTTACATTGTGATCCTCACGCAGGAAATATCGCCATTCGTCACAATCCCAAAAGGAGGTATCCGTATAATTTCGACGTCATTCTTTACGATCATGGGCTTTACCGAATGCCAGATGACAAGCTGAGGAGGGACTATGCGAAGATGTGGCTTGCGGTCATCGATGCGGATGAGGCAAAAATGCGGAAATACGCCTACGAAGTCGCGGGGATTGGCGACAAAGAATTTCCCTTGTTTGCCTCAGCTATCACAGGCCGTGACTATCGCGTGCTGACTCGCAAAGAGCTCACCACTTCAATACGGAATAACGATGAAAAGGAGGCCATTGGCGAGGTCTTTGGCCAAGACCTTCTCGCGCAACTTGTGCAGCTGCTGGGGCATGTTCCCCGCATTATTCTTCTTATATTGAAGACAAACGATCTGACAAGGAGTCTGGATGAGGCACTGGGTTCGACTCAGCCGATGAGGCCAATGCTCATTCTGGCCAAGTACGCGAGTTGGACTGTTTGGCAGGATGAAAAGGACATGATCCGACGGCGGGGTAGTCTTCTCCACCCGCAGAACTTTTGGAGGCTATTACAGGCATGGGTGAACTTCATGAGGGTCGAGTTGAAGTTGTTCGGGTATGAGCGGTACTTGTCTTTGCGGCGACACTTGGGTCTCGACGAGTAGGGAGTGCACTTGACCAGATGGCTGTGGTGGTTATTAGACTCGGACAAGCTTGCTTGCGGCTGCATCATGTTAGCGAGGCGCTGGTGCGATAGAACGGGGAAAGTAATCCATGAATAATGGGGGTGGTTGTGACTGGCCGCCTTTATACCTATCTATAGACATCGCCGTCCAGCCTCATCACGGGACCATCAGCGATTTGATTGGTCAATGACTTTTTCCGCAAGGCTCTCGATATCTGAGCCTTCCAGTTCTGACTTCATCTCCAGTTCAACCATCGCAACTTCTGTCTCGCCCGCCCTCTGTCGCTCTGAGAAGACTTCCATTCCTTATCTCGTATACTGTTTCTTCTTACTGCCACAGGTCTACATTATGATAATCTCCAGCCGCCAATCTTACGCATACAACACAGACACGAGGCGCCAATTCCTCGTCATTTGCATTTCTTGACATATTGGCAAACTCACCTCCACCTACTTCAGTCGCCGTCGCCATCGACCTTGGTCTCTTAAATCAGCTCCGTGTCGCTCGTTAATCTTCCACCATCATGATAAATCTCGGCCTCCAGCGCATCACTCAGTTGCTTAACCCGCTTTTCAGCACACACCCAACACTGCCCTGGAGAGCGGTCCACATTGCAGGGACCAATGGCAAAGGTAGCGTTGCCGCCCTGGTCTCCACGTTCCTCGGTCACTTGGGATACAAAGTTGGGCGGTTCACCTCTCCTCACCTGATCGACCGTTGGGACTGCATCAGCCTCAATAGACGCGTCGTCGAGCGAGACAAATTTCTCCAGGTCGAGCAGCACTTTCGCGACCGGAGCGTCAGGGAAGATATCCACGCATCCGAGTTCGAGATCCTCACGGCCGCAGCGTTTCAGCTATTCACGGATGCAAAGGTCGATGTCGCCGTCATCGAATGCGGACTCGGTGGTCGTCTTGATGCCACCAACGTATTGAGACCGGAGGATGTGCTGGTTAGCGTTTTAACCAAGGTTGGCCTGGATCATACTGCTTTCCTGGGTGAGACTCTCGAGGCTATTGCGACGGAAAAGGTGGGAATCTTCAAGCCGGGAGTACCTGTCGTGCTTGACCAGAGTAACCAAAGAAACGTCATCGATGTGGCCGAAAGCCGATTGAGAGACTTGGGCTGGGAAGACGGCGGAAGAGCAGGCGTCTATATCTCTATCGAAGAGAGAAGACGTGAATTCGACAAGGCTATTGCACGTATGCGCCTAGCAAAACATCAGGCTCAGAACCTGTATCTTGCCTTCTCCTGCTTTCAAACAGCCGAGGAACGTCTCAGTGGCCGGTCCGCACGCAGAGAAGACCTCACCGGGGATAGGTCACCAGGGCCGTTGAACTTTCCTCAGGATTTCCTAGTCGCTACAGATCAACTGCGCGTCGACACGGTGAAGAAGTCTCTCGATATCCTTGTTCCACTCGCACAGTCGTCTCTTCCTGGACGCCTGCAATGGATCGTTCTCCCGTCGAGACTGCTACCGCAAAATCTAGAAGACAGGGCAGCACAGTTGAACGCCGGTCAAACCAGACAGAGTCTCAACGCAAAGGTCCTTCTCGACGGTGCCCACAATTGGCAATCAGCTGCAGCTCTGGCTGACTACATCAAAGCGCAATGGCGGCCTCCCTCCAAAGAGCCTGTGCCACCTGTGACATGGCTCTTGTCTGTCAAGAACGACAAGAAAGTCGATGAAATTCTACAGTTGCTGCTTGGACCCAACGATAATGTCTTGACGTGCTCTTTTGGCCCTGTTGATGGAATGCCGTGGGTGAAGAGCATGGGAGCTATTGAACTAGCCGAAATCGCCACCAAGTACACGAGTGGAATCGTTGAAGCGCTTGGTGATGAATATATTGGAGGTGTTACTGGGAAAGAGGATAAAACTACACCTGACGAGAAGATGAGGATCATCATAAGGCAAGCGGTGAGCGTCGCGTCGAGGGATTCAAAGTTCAGCCCTTTGGAGCTGAAGCTCTGTATCACTGGGAGTTTGTACCTGGTCGGGGACGTCCTGAGGTGCATCCGGAATGCAGGCGGGCCAGTCGTTGACGGCAGTTCTGCTCCGGCTCTTGCGGGCTCCTCCTATAGAGTCTAGGGCTAAATCGGTGATGGGGTGGCGCGGCGAATGGATACCTATATATGTGAATATGATATCTTTGGAATGGACATGTCGTTGGTGAGAGGACTCAATACGTTGGACATGAGGTCGTCGACCAGTTTCACACCAGAGTGTGTTATACACAATAACAGCGAGTGTCGTCGCTGATGAGCACACGGAGTGATATAGTCACATTCTGGATCTTGTGTAGAAGGTTCGATGGGTGCATTGTCTAGATATTTCTAGGGAACTTTTCTGTTGCTATACGACAGCAGCCTCGCCGGTTCCTACTTCAGCCACTTCTTTTTGGGAGCCGGTCCCGGCCTTGGTAGCAGCAGGCCTCACCATGAGAACCTGACAATACCAGCCGTCACCTCTCTTCCCGTCCCGCTCCAATTCCCGTTCGAGTCTCTTCTCGGAGAATTCGACGCCCCTGTCCCCCCCGCCCTCCCAGCGGCGGAGATCGACCCAGATCTCCGCCCCGTCTGGCGCTCCTGAGAGACTGAACCTCTCGAACCCCACCGCCTCGTACACCCCGACCCCCTTGGGCGACGCCTCCAGCATGCTCGGCCACCCGCGCGCGTCGGCCTCGGCGCACGCGTGCCGCATCAGCATCGACCCGGCGCCGCGGCGGTGGTGCCTCGGGTCCGTGTACAGGTTGTCCACGAGGATGTGGGGGCCCAGGAGGGCGGTGAGTTGCCGTCGCGAGGCGACCAGTTGGGACCAGAACGACGAGGCGAGCGCGGAGTGCGTGGAGGCGGGCCAGGGGCGGTCGGTCGTCGTGGATGATGAGGCGGAGGGTGTGGGTTCGTCCTCGGTGTGACTGTCGGTGGTGTTGGTATCGGTGTTTGTGTCCTTGATGTAGTACTTGATGGCGGCGATGACCTTGCCCTTATTCTTTCCGTTGCCCTCCTTTCTCGTCCTCTGGTCTTTCCCCGTCATCCCATCCCTCTCCGTCTCTCCCACCACGTCGTCATCATCCTCATCCTCGTCCTCAACCAGACTGTCATCCACCACGACCCCGAACCGACAATTCCTCTCGTTGGAAAAGGCCTGCGAATGCCGCTCCACCATCGACGCGATATACCCCGGATACGCCTCCGGGGGCCCGTGGTAGATGGCCCGCATGAGCGGCACGGTCAGCCAGGCCGCGAGGTGGATCCGCGCGATGGCCGGGATGTACTGGTGGTCGAGGGGGTTGGAGGGAGAGAGTTGGTGGACGTGTAGAGGCATTCTTTTTTTTTTGTTTTTCTCGTTGAAAGAAGAACAAAATATTCTTGGTCGTTTGTTCTTGTCTGGGCCGTGTGTGTGTGTGTGTGTGTGTGAGTGATGATGTGCTGTCCAGCTGAGGTTTTGTGTCGCTGTGAAAGTGTGTCGTGCACGCGTGGGAGCCTTTTTTTTTCTGCAATGTTCGATGTTTCAACGTCTAATGTTCCCCCTTTTCGTCCCTCTGTCTCTCTCCTGTCGAGTATGTAGCTCGATATCTATATATATATGATTCGTGTATGACCAGATACGTAAATGTCCACGGGATATATTTTGACTGAATTTTTATGGTACCTCGTAGTGGTTCTCTGTGTAGATATCTATATGTACTCATGTACCTAGGGACTACTAGGTTACTTTTCCGAGAGGAGGAGGGAGGGGGGGACCCCACGAAAAACCCCAAAGTCAAATAGATGACGAGATGGGACGAGGGTTACATCGGTCAACGAGGCAGCCAGTGAACGGAAACTGAGTCGAATTTGAAGATCGATTTGATGCGGTTTTCTTTTACTCGTGTGAATTCTCCCAAGGCTAAGGAAGGGACTTTTGAAGAGATTGGAGGTGGCTTGTTGCTCAGACCTGTCTATCGACTTAGTACCTAGTGAAGTATCGAGGTGTAACGTGACTCGATCCACTATAATATACCGGCCAGCCCAGTATCTAGGTACCCCTGCATGCGTATGGTGCATTGTATGCGTGTATGCGTGTATGTAGTTGTAGTCCGTACCTATTCACCGCCTTGGATACGAGTGATCAGTTCCACGTCTGTACCAGAGCGGAGCGGAGCACACTAAAGCGCTCGTTTTTGTATTCACGGGACAGGAGGTGGAAGAGAAAGAGGGCACGGGAGGGCGAGGTTTTGCAATTTAGCACTTTGTGCGCGCATGTGCGAGTATATATATCTAATGATGGCGTATAACTGGGCTGTTGGTCCGGTCTTCCCTCCAGGTCATGGCGAGGTGATGAGAGAGGGCGAAGAGAGGGATGCAATGCCGATGCAATGCCGATGCAATGTGATGCTGGGCCGTCCATATCGCTCAATTCGACTTCATCCTATACTTCCCGTGTCTTCAGTGACGTCAAGGCCATGCGATGCCATGCTCATGACTGAGGATCGTGTGTTGGTGACGGCTCAGAGCCCCTCCAATGCTGTAGACTCCGCAGAGTCTTTTTATCCGCGCCGTAGAGGTAATATCCTCTCAGACACGAAGTGAGTTTATCCAGATTCTTGTCTCTTGACTTTTCACTGGGTTGTGATGTGGACGTCTTGGGGCCTTCACCTCTTCCAGTATCGGGACCTCTCGTCACTGGTCGCGTCACTCCCCCAGAATATATCCCCCTATTATCGTCCCTGTGGGTAGACAGTCGGGTCTCGTCATCATCTCTGTCCTTCGCCATCCATTCGATCAGGTGTCCCATGAACGGGATCTCGAGTCGCCACGGACTGAAACTCGAGGCGGATCCAATCGCCACCATGGTCCACAGCGTCACCTCGCGCTCGGTGACGGATGTTGGATCGTCTGGGTTGCTGGGCTGCGACAGTTCCAGCGCCACGTTTGACAAGATCTCTAGATATGGATGGTGCGTCTTGGTCGTTGTATCGCCAGGCGGCGACGTTGAGGACGAGGTCGGTGATGAAGAAGGCCTCTTCGCTTGATGAACTAGGTGTGGTTGGTTGTGGAAGTTGAAAATATAGATCAGTAACGCGAGCAAGACTCGATGGTGCGGTGACTGTGGTCCAACTTCTTCCGCGATGCGAAGGACGCGACTCATTTCGCTATGGTCCTGATCGAGAGATTGCAAGCCCTTGTCCTCATCCTTCTCGCCCCGTTCACCTTGACTGCCACCGCCAAAGCATTGTGGCTCCCTCGAAACTTGCCTGAAAATCCGGAGGAGTATATGGAGTGCATGGGATGTGATTAGGCTTTTGCCGGCCAATACCGTGAAGAGCCCCTGGAATGCTCCCATTTGTGTCGGCTGGATGGGACGGTCTTCTTTGAATCTGACCAAGACATCATCGTCGTCGGTGAGTTCGCACACGAATCTGCCGTGCAGGAGAAGCGGTAAGAAGAATTCGCTCCTACTCAAACATGCATTAATTAGTGCCTCTGGAGAATGGGTGCAGAATCACAGACTTTAACAGCTCGTCCTGTAACTCGGCGCTCAGCTTGCGTATACCACCTCTTGTCGACACCATTCTCTCTTTAGCCCGTTTGTGCATTGCATAAGCATGAAGGTCGCCATGTGCCGCCTGCTCAGTCAGAATATTGCTATTCATCCTACAACCGCACGACGAGGCACTTACATCGACATCCATCAGCCACAAGGCAGTCAAGATGGCAGCATCATCGTCTGCGCTCCGGGCCGTTTCCACTTTGTACCTGAGCTGCTTCAATGCTTCACCTCGGTGGTACAACGCCGTCCAGTGGGTGGTGCCGAACCCCTTGACATCGATGTTGTAGTACACTTGGCTCAAGGCGATCAGGGCGTGAAACATCTCAGAGTTCTGCATCGCCACATTGAACCAGATGAGATATCGGCTGGTTTCGACCGCGAGCGCAGGACTGAACCGCGGAGTGAGAAATCGGATGACTGGAGTGGTAGGCTCTCGTTAGCAGTGCACCCCATTGATGGATGAAGCTTTCGCCCCCTGACTGCTGCAGGGCTCAAATGCAAAAGACGAAACATCGTCGTAACCGGAAAAATGGTACGAGACAAATGCGTCGTCCCATGTATAGCGCCTGACTCGAGAAGACTTACAATAATCCACCAAAAAGGGCACATAAGGTGCGTGGCGGATGGGGTAGGTGGTGAAGGGGTCTGCCATCGGACTTCCCAGCACGCAATCATTTCGCAACTGAGGTTCTCGAGGAGGAGATACTTCTTCCGGGCTCATCGAGGTTAACCCTTGCTTCCTGGTAGGCAGTTTCTTCTTTTCGGTGCTGGGAGCGGTAGGCGGCGGTGTCCCTCCATCGGGTCGCCGCACAAACGGACGGTAGAGCGTCCGATCCAGAACAATGCGCTTCGAGGTTGGCCGGTAGCTTTTCGAGGCAAACGACGAGACGGCACGGCGATTCTGCCTGCTCTTCAGGTCGGTCGGGTTGTTGTATGTGATGAAAATGGTGTTCTGGGACGCAGGAGGCATTTGGGTGTTGACCTCGCGGGACAAGAATCCTTTGTCTAAACAGTCTGTAAAAGGGTGTTGTCGTCGAGCAGGGGGAACGGCGGTTGGTCTGAAAAGAGGACTTTTGTGTTCAGTAACACCTTCGACCAGCAACCAGCTCTTGAAGTGAGAGTGCCTCCATCGCACTGTGCTCAGGAGGAGGCTAAATGTTTGTCGCTGCGCAATTAGACGTCGAGGAGGTAGATAAGTTTGTATTGTTTCAGCCCCCGGAGTTCTATCGTGCGTACGCCGCCCAGCTGTTTCCCCCACCGTCTATTCAAGCCTTGCCGGTGGCGCAAGTAAAATGAGGAGATGTCTGGTCGTTCGAGTCTGATCTTTGAAGAAGGCTGATGCGACTTGCAGCGAAAGTGTCCCTGAATCACTGACCCTCCACGCCACGGTAAGCGATTCCATGAGAAATTGGAGTAGGCCTAAGGAGTGGATCATCCGATTCCAAGGGCCTGAACCGAGTAAAGAGGATTAAACGAGTGTATTATGGACAAGTATTGTTTCGAATCGTGTCGCTCGTGTCGCTTTCAGCCCAAAGAAAAAATCACGTAAGCGGGTTGCATTATGAAATGGGGACCGCAAAGAGGCGCCACCATCGAGATTCAGCCCTACAAGAGGGGCCTACAAAGGTACCTTGTCCGAGTGGGCTTATGCTTACAGCGCTACATCTGGTCCTTTTGGCCATTACTTCATCGTAAGCCACTGGCGCCGCAGCTTCGGAGCAGGGTTCTACAAATGAGACGTGACAAAGCTACAACATGGAACAGACGGACAAAAGACATACCCAAAGGTCACAAGATCGATTTCTGGCTTGATTGGCAATGACGCTCGCTCGCAATAACATTGGTGAATATGCCCGGAGTGAGAACGCCGATGGCCATAACACCGGCCGACATCTTCGTATAAACATATCATTCCTGTGGACTCCAGGACAAGTTGATGTGACGAGTAATCCACCGAATTGTCTATTCCACTCATTCTTCTGCCCACCTTCTTTCTCGAAGGGGCATCTCAATGCCTTGTTGTGCCCGGCTGCCACTCTCTTCCGCCCTCCAGGCATAATATTCACCTAGCCGAACCTCAGCATACGAAGCATAATCGAAATCGATCTCGGAAATGGTCGCCTGGATCAGAGCCCAGACTCCCCAATAGAAGCCCGGCATGCCCCGATATCGGTCAACTTCATCGCACAAAACATCCAGCATGTTGTCAGCAATCGGCACGTCGCTGTGGGCTTTGTACGACCTGAGGTAGTCTTGGAGGAATTGGCGGCGTGTGGACCGGGTTGGCAGCATGTTGTAATCACAGTCATAGCCACCCCATTCGGCAAAATGGTTGGCGATATCGAAAGCTGCAGGACAAGGCGTGGCATATTCGTAGTCAATAAAGGAGACCTGCATCGAGTCACCCGCCTTACTACTGGCACAGTCGGTTGGCAGCATGATAACGTTTGCACTTAAGAGGTCGCAATGTCCAAAGACGAAGCCTGACGAGCCGGGACCTCGCTCATTGTCCAGGTCATGGAACGATCGATCTAGTTCTTTCTGAAGCAGTTCCTTGCGTGCCTCTTTCTTTGGAGTGTCGCAGGGAAGAGCGGTAACCCATTTCTGCATTACTGACCAGATATTTGGTACAGGCCGCCTCGAAGCAAGACTACCACTCGGAGTATGGCCATTGGCGCCGCTTGAGGCCTCCTTCTTTTCCTCTTCTGCCACGGCGGCAATAGGCAGCCGTGCATGCCACTCACCTAAGCGCTTAGCAACCGCGCGCCATGTAGGTTCACTGATCAGGTCTCGAGGAGTACAGACTTGACCAATGATGAATCTGTATAGAAGTCCATTCTTGAATCTTGCCAATAGGGGAGGGGCCAATCCTCGTTCTGCGCACAAAGCATGTGATCGGGCCTCTCGATCTCGGTCGATGATGATCTCGGTGTGGTTGCCATAGGCACGTAGGAGGACAGAGTCACGGTCGATCTCAGCTTCAGAAAGCCCTGGAATGCGGTTCGATATCTTGAGCAGCTAGATACCAGTCATGAGCAAGGGGCACGTGCCTGACACAGCGAAGCAAGAGAACCCACAGTGTTGGTGATACCATCGGTGAATTTGACAATTTCAAGTTTGCCTGGACTGTCCCTCCATTTGGGCTGTATTCTGTAGACTAAGTCGCGAGCCGAGTCGTCCAAAGACTCGTTATCAAAAGCCAGATCGATGTATTGCAGGCGCGGGCGGTGGCCATTGGAGTAGTCAGTGGGGGATTGCATGTCCGCACATGCCCCGTTGACGGGAGGAGATTGACCGATGTCAGGCAGGACGATAAGGATGTGACGATGGAGATATGGACAATTCCTCACAGGACAGTAGAACAGGAGGATGTAGAGGAGAAATAGACGGGCGAGGACTTCAGGGACAATGGGTTGTGATGGGCAAAGTTGGAGGAGTTGTAGTTTCTTGGTGTGCGATGTGGGTGCGCACTAGTTACGCAGTTTGCGGATGTACTTGGTAGCTGCGGTAGTCGGCTTTTCTCTTTACTTGTTCATTGTCGCGGCAGTAGTGGGTTTTCCCTATTGAAGAAGCCGGCTTGCAAGCCAGGAACAAGGGACGAGAGCACAAGCCACTCACTCTTCATCCTCCCCGATCGTCATTCCTCCCCCCTCCCTCCACACCCACCGTTGCCAACGAAAGTCTAACTGCGGCCCCTGGTTCGAACCAAGAGAACCTGCCCCTCCTTGCCGGGAACTACACGGAAAACGATCCCATCTGCGCGGGTCGGTCTTTTGGTCAGGAGATCACAGTGGACCACTAATATTCAACGAATCTACTGCCGAAGCTCTTTCACATGTGGCCCTTGAGCACTCCTGTGCCCCTCCCGAGCCGTTGCTGGCGTCATACCAGTACATGTGATGGCTACAAAAGCACGGGAGTGGGTGTAACCCTTGACTAAGAATGTGCCTTTTGGGTCAGTTCTCGATCCTCACCTTGGCCGCCATTGAAAGACTGTTACAATACCCTGGGAAATGTGTCAATTGACGGTACGAACCTCGGAGGGTTGGTACCAGGCCTAGGTGGTTTGGCGTTGGGCATTGAAGAAATAAAAGTGTCAGATGAAAAAGCGATGGAATGTCGTTGTGACACTGGGACAAGTTCTAATGCCGACGGTTTGCATGCTACGGGGTTGCTCCGTGAAGAATGCCGCCAGGTACGATAGGGCGAAGATTCATCACACCAGGGGTTCTCAGCCTCGCCTCTCCTCGCCTAACCACCAGTCATCTTGTCATCCTGTATAGACTCATCCAACGAGCCATGAAATCGCTTCAACTATTAGCCTTGCTCTTTCCTTTCTTACTCCTTTTCTTCTCCGTCTTGTCCTTGTCGGCACCCGTATGCTTGGCCTCCGCGTCATCCACCAAGCTTTTGTCTTCCTTGCCTCCACTCTGTCGACCGCCGCTGCCGATCTTCTCTAGAATGATTGCCGCACCTCTGTTCTCTCCGTCCAACTTCCCCATGTTTCTTCTCAGCACATCCATTAGTTCTTCTTTCATTGAAAAGTTCTCAGCCTCTGACATGGCCACAATAACGAAACTATTGGGTCCATTTGCCCAGGTCACGAGTTCCTCGTCCCCGCCTTTCGATCGGATCTTTTCAAATAACAACTCATCAAATTTCAAAGGAGGATCGATCAGTTGGATCAAGTTCGTCGTTTTGTTGAAACGTCCACCTTGTACGAGAGCCTTGAGCATGCGGCCCACTGCTGGCATAGCAAGAAGCTTGTCGGTTTCTTCTTGCTGTTCTTTCTCCCCAGGCGCCTCGGTTGCCAAATCGGCAATCGCACCTAAAGCGCCCTGTACATCACCAATCCCAGCACAACCAAACACTACCTCGGTAATGAACTGACAACCAAAAGTCGACTGTGCGAGATGACGCACTTGGTGTGTGATGAGGTCGAGGAGAGGCTGGGCAATGTTCTTCACTAATTCAATGCGGCGTGTCTCTGGATCCTTCTTGGATGTTTCTTTGCGGATCTCACGAACCTCCGAGATGAGTGCGGCTGTTTCATTCCCTAGAAGCCACTTTGGTGCCTCAGGAGACATGAGATAAAGCAGCGGAATACGCGCGGTAAGGTGTTCCGTCTGTGCGAGCAACTCCTGCTCCCTTGCTTCAATTTCAAGGTCTTTGCTCAGAAGCTCCGGAAAGATGGTCTTTGAAGTCATCACAGTATCATCAACAACTTCATACGCCGTCAACAGCACACTGTGACCATACTGGTCGCCCGCGAGGAGTTTGATGTGCGTCTTGAAAAACTTCAATATGCCCCTTCGGTCCTTTGAGTTCCCGTGGGCCAGGCAAAGACACAGCAATCGAGACCCTGACTTCGTGAAAGCGAGGTTCTTGTAGATGTCTCCTTCCTCGTCATCGCGGAGCATGGAGAAGAATTCGGTCACTTCCGGACTCCCGGGTTTGCAATTCAAAAAGTACTGGAGCAGGGCGTCATGAAGGATCGTAAAACCTGTGGTCTTCTTTTGAACAAGCTGGTTGGTCATTTCGTGCAGATGAGACATGATGGGGTTTCTCTTTTCGGGGTGCTCGGCAAGAATGTCGGAAAGTACAGCTGTTACTTGCTCATCTTTTGATGTGTTGCCCGTCTGTGACTTGCCGAAGATGACAAACTCCGGGCCGTACCATTCTCTGAGCATGATGGCCTTTTGATGCTTCGTTGCAATGGTCCTGTAGATGTCGTCCACGATCCAACTTGCTTCGGGATGGCGGATCAGTCTTTTCACGTGGCCGTAGAATTCTTCGACGACAGCATCCCGACTTTCATCGTCACCCACGACCATCTTTGCTATTAAGAACTTGGCATATTTGGACTCGGCTAGCTCTCTGTAACTTCCCTTCAACTCTGTTGTAATCTGTTTTCTCTGGTCCGGAGTCGCATATTTCAAGGCACATTGGATAACCCGCACAGAATCATGTTTGAACACGAAATCCTTGACACGCCCTGATATGATCTGAAAGAGTTCTGTGACTAACTCGTCCCGTTCTTGCTTGGGAACGTGGGATTTGCGACGCAGTCGCTCCCATATCTTCTTTGACCGGGCGATGGAGTCGGCGTGAGGTTTGGCAGCCTTGCGGCCTTGTGCGAGGGCCTTTTGCTTCGCGTGGGCTTCGCGAGAGGTCTGGCCTATTTACGCATTTGAAGTCAGCAACGACGGATCTCTGTCTCGGCTCCGATAGAGGCGGTGTGCTCATGCACATACCATTTAAAAAAGTTTCTGATTTTTCAGACGCATTCTGAGTCGTAGATCCATACCTCCCCTCGGATCTCTTCGAAGTTGCTTTTGTTGAGTCCGCCGCCGAAGTGTTCTTTGCCTGGTCGAAGGCTTCAGCTCCTTGCGCAGGCGCATCCGTGGCTCTTGAGTGACCCTTGTTCAGTCTGGCCCTTTTGGAGGCTGTAGAGTCGGAACCCTCATTTTGCCGCTTGCTCGCTGCCATGTTGAATCTGTGTTCGGTCACTGGCAGTTCTGTGCGGTCAGTTGACTTAGCACCATGGAGATCATCGAACTTTTTTTTTTGAGAGGGTCGAATTTCTGGCAAACAGGACAAACAAGGCAAAAGTCGATAGTTTGGTGCTTGGCGTATTTGTCTGTTTACAAGTGCCGTGGTGCCCCACCCGCGTTGGACGGTGGGCTATGGTCCTTTGGAGGGAGCCGAAGATCTACTCCGTACTATATAGGCTATGTGGAGTCCTCAAACGATACTGGATCTTCCTCTATTTCTTCTCTGTGTGCTTTCCGGGCATGAACTCCGAACCCTGACATCCCTCGGTCTCGTCGTCATCCACTGCATCTAAAAATCTACGAGAACTTTGGAAATCAACCCCCTAGCTCTGTGAATACCTGTTTTCTCCGCTTCAATCCACCCCTTTTACTTGCTGTAGTCTATCCACGATTCCCTATTGTACCTGGCCACAAATCGAATTGGATCACTGCGGGGGAAAAGTGTCGAGCACGCGCCTAGTGCGCGAAGCGGAAGTCCAGCCTCTTGTTTCCTGCGTCCGTCGTGGTTTCGAGATAGTGGAGTCGTTCCTGCAAACGCGTGGGTCAGCAATTTGGTCTCATGTGGAGCGAGAAAAATAATGTACCTCTGAGCTCATCGCATTCCATTTCTTCTCGCGGGTGTGGTTGCGCCAGATGTAGTACAGCTTGACACACCCGTACAATCCGATGGTTCCCGCGCAGATGGCAGTCAGTTGCCTATTGCCTCGCCGATCTGTAGAAATCCACGGTCAGCCATGTACAACGTGAGAAAGAAAGGTCACGGAGATCGTCGTTCCGCCCGGTGGGGGAGCTAGGTTCAGCAATTGCTTTTTGGCGGGTGGGTGGTTGGAGAGGAGACAAGGCGGAAGACTCACAAACAGGACGGTCATCGGCGCGATAGATGTTGGAAAGGGCAATTCCGCCAACCTGTACAAACATGCTAATTCAAGAGTCAGCTCAATAGACTGGGCGACGAGAAGGGAAAGGGGGATACTCACTTGTACAAAGCCGCAGAGACAGTCCTAGTTCGGACCGTGTTGGAATTCCGACTGCACCATCCCACTTGCAGAGCATGAGCTGTTGGTCACCGTTAGCCATCTGGAGGGCCGTATTTTGTGGCGGGGTCATGGCAGGGGGGGCACAACTTACGGGAGGGCCATCCCAGCAAGACGGTCGTTATGGCATATTTCGCCCACGCTGAAGTGGTGGCCGGGATTACCGCCAGCGCGATGATATTCGGAAGAATCCAAAGTTGTCCGATAGCGCCCATCAGGGCTCTCTCATTCAAGGTCTCGGACAAATAGGTCAAGATCAACATCTGCACCGCGGTCAGCTTGGTGAGCTCAGAGTCGCGGCAGGAGCGGAGAAGAGTTCGCGACTCACAGTGACGGCGCCAATGAATTGGGTCGGAATGGTCAGCAGATTGGAATCCATCGTCCCGAATCCCAAATTTCGAAGGGTGAGAGTCAGGTACTGGTCTGGTGGTCCGGCTGGAATGTTGAAGATCAGCCCGATGAGGTAGATGGGCCACAGATCATAGTCCTTCAGAGACTTCCAGAGAAGTTTAAAATCCACGGCCTGCCGATTGTGCATATCGCCCTTGGAAGGGTCATCGCGCAGGATCCGGTTGACCATGATGACTTCCTCGCGTTCGCTGAACCAACCTTTGGGACGGTACCAAGACTTGGTCTGGGTCGGAGATGCCGCCATCATGAACCAGGACCAGATACCCACCACCAGGGTGAAGAGGCCCTCGATCAAGAAGAGCCATCTCCAACCTTCGTACCCGTGCACGCCACGCAGACGTAAAAGACCGAACGCCAGGATAGGGGCGATGATGTCAACGACTCGTAGTGTAACCCAGAACAAGGCCAGGCGGAAAGGAAGCTCCGAGCCTTTGAAGAAGTAGGACTGCAGAATATGGGTTAGCAACCACCCGGGATTCAAGCATGGACGTTGATCGGAGGACAGGGCATATACGTACCAAGTACAGGATCACATCGGGGATAAACCCTCCTTGAAGCATGCCTAACAGAGCGCGGCAAGCCAAGAAGCTCGACCTCCCGCTGAGCCAGAACTGAGACGCAGCAACAATGCTCCACAAGCACATGATGGTAGGTATCTGAAACAGATCAGTAAGGAAACTTCTCCACTGGTGTGCGAACATACCCATCGGTCCGGTCCTGTCGGCGGGTCAGCATGAGCGAGTCATTTCACTAAGGTATATGTCCATACCTAATTTCTTGCTGACTAGTTGAGATGGAAGTTCAGCGCAGAGAAACGACACTCGGAAGACGGTGTTGCCCAGGTTGAAGTCTAGCACCCAATCAGACCCTCGTCGGCACTGCCAAATGTAACAAACTACCTACCATTGGTTGATAGACTCAAGTCTTCCAAGAAGTTGTCTGTATTGGCTTGGCTGAGGTTGCCTCTGTCGAGGTCCAGCGCAAAGAATGCGATGCAGGCCCAAGTGGTGACCTTCCAATCGATCTTGTTGATTAGTGGCTGCGCGATAACTCGTTAGCCCAGCTACGACAACCATGCTCCAACGTGGTCACTGACTAGCTCTTCCGCCCAGGTCCATCGTGCACTGGGGTCGAACCTATGCAGATTCTCATATTTCTCCGTGGGCTGGAAGTACTTTGCGGTTGCCGGGTCATCATAGATGGATGGCTGGGTTGCGATTTGCTGGAGATCACGGTGTTGTTTCTTCCTCCATAGAGTTGTGATGGGAAGCGTCGGCGGTACCGTCTTCTCAAGCTCATGCTGGGCAAGAATTCTTTCGCGGACCGCCTCTAGCTTCTCCTCCTGATCTTCAGGAGTGCCGCGCACTTCTGGAGTCGAGGCAGAGATTGGAGTGTCTGTCCAAACAGCTTCTTTCTTCTCTGAACTCATATTGGCCACCTAACTGCAGTAGAGAGAGAAGATTCCTGCTTGTCTTTGCCTGTAATTTTGAGTACAAGATGAACAAACTCAGGACAGGCATGAGAGTGGTGGGCTTAAATACACCCTCGTGCTGGGGACTTCGGAACCACATGGATGGATGCCATGCAACTTCATGCATGGTGTAAATTTTGTGAATATGTCGCGATAGACAGGATGGCAAGTCTGGAATGCCTAGGTCTTCGATTCTGCATATACTCCAGTGATCAACGGCCTGATTCTGCAGTGATAACGAGACCCTTGGTTTGGTGGAAGTCGAGCGGAGGCGGCCAGAATATGCCCAGAACTTGGCATTAGTGAGTGCAATGCTAGGCATAATGACGAGCTCACCAGACAACATTATGCAGGGCGGAACTGCTTCAGAACCATGGGTTTGGTCGATTTTTTCACATCCAGGATCAAGGATCCCACGTTTGTCGTAGAAGCGAGAAACCTTTCAAGAGCGACCAGCTCCTCAGGACAGCGGCGAACCAACCCTTACAGTCCTGCATCTATTTTGAAGCTGGAATTTCCAGCGAGGTACCACTGTATTGTCAGACACCACCGTGGTTCAAGCTGAACATACTGTCACAAGTGGCAACGGGCATTTTCAGAAGCAGGACCAACACCATCCTTCAACAGCTCGCAATGGAGATTCCGAGGAGCTGGCCACTCAAGACATGTTGAAAGGTAGGAACTGATGTGTACTGCGTATTGTTTCACACGCTCTGACTTTATGGTCATCGCCTTGGTCTTCTCCCTCGGCATCTTCCTCAGAGGGGAGATGAGAAGTTCACATTGGCCTTGGATGATGGTGGAGGATCCTCCGGCGTCTAGTCCACCATTCGCGCCAATCAACAGGTGGCAATTTGGCATCATGTCTGAGATAGACCCAAGATAGCATTCAGGCTCCGGATCCATAATTCGATTCATAGTGGTTTCATTCTTACCTTCGTCAGAAGTTGGCTCACAAAGTCCCTCGAGCAAATTGACTCGGCAATTCTCGAGTCAAGCATCTTCTCCACGTGAGCGTCAAATCGTGAGTAGCCTTCCCAAGATTCGTTCATGGAGTCGTTCATGGCTTCTTCAACTTCCATAATAGGTAGCATGATAAGTAGTACCGAGTAAATAGGTGGGAAATATGATTAGAGCCGCGAGGTGTGTTTAATTACACGAAGAACTAACATCTGTTAAAACGAGCGAACGACTTCATGGTAACACAAATGGTCAAAAAAGGTTTAGCTGTCTTTTGAAGACTGGCCTTTTCTAATGTAGACTAGCGTGATTATAGGGGTGGCCATGCTCGATGACTAAGGCAAGTAAAGGTACCACTGTTGGGTGACTTGTTAGGTGTCCGTCGGTGCCCTGCGTCCTCTTCTTCTGCAACCAGCTTGCCGGGTCGATTTTTGATTGCAATAGGGTCCTACTGCAACCTCCGTCAATCCTATGTGGCGACCGAATTCGGTTGCTACCGCGAGGCTGCCCTCGCGGCCTTAAATAGGCTTTCGGCGGCTCCTAGTAGCGCCCGTCGTTACCTATTGTAGATCGGCGGTGAAGGCGTTTTTAGCCAAAACGGCGCTAAATCTCCCTGAATTGACGGAGTGTCCTCCGTGTAGAGAGCCCTCCGTGGGCTGCTTGTAAAGGACTAGGTACCAAGTGTTGTCTGCGAGGCTGATCGAGTTTCAAAGCGAAAGATTACGTTCAAGTGTACCGAGTATATACGTGGAGGATAATCGGCCACGCGAGTTACCTTATTCAATTAGGCGGCGAGGAGTTTTCACGGGGGCAAGCACAGAGGATTAATATTGACGGAGATTTCAGATGACCCTAATGTCATCTTTATTGTTTTGTAGGCTTCTATTTCTCTCAATTCTTGGCCGCACCTTGCTGCAGGCAACGACTCCAGCACCAAATTATTCTGATAAATTAAGTTGTATCACCGCCCCTTGAAATGCCACTCTGGACGTGGCCAGTTGTGAAGAGCCTAAGCTTTGTCCGCGAATGGGCTCTCCGCCGAGAACTGACAGGGTGGGCACGAACTGGGGCGCCGAATCGAACAGATGGTCGTCCGGCGCCGGGGAAGCCCACAGGTCTTGTTTGGGATACCAAACTGCTGCGAGGTCAATGCACGATCCCGGTCTTGGTCCTCTCGAGCAACTGAAGCCTCCGCTACTATCAGGGGACATATCCTTCAAGGCAACGAGCAAGTGTATATCCCTATCGACTGTCCATCCCATGCTTCATTAGGACGCAATCATCCCTGTCTCATGACCACGGAATTGTTCTGCTGCGAATGTGGCGTCTTCAGATCTCAACAACATGCGATGCTACAACGGTGAATCTGAAACTCCCGCGACTTGATTTCTTGCAACAACATTTATCAAAGGTGTTCAAGGGGAAAGCCGTAGTGATCCGTGGCGTCGGTGCTGTCTTTCGTTAACCCGCCGACTATGGAGCCATCGGGTCGGGCTTTCATTCGAGGAGCTCTTCATCATTTGCCTGAATATGGTGCCTAACTAGACGAAGCAGATCACGTCCTCTTAGACCTTCAAACACCGACAGGGGTTCATAGTATTAGTCTGCATGCATCAGGAGTTTCATGTTCGGATATCATTTTCTTTCATTGCTCGGGCTTAAAGTTTGATGCGTTTGCGCTACCAACTACTCATCACTGTTCGCCTTGGATCAGTACCGACCGCTCAGCCTCACCAGTCTTCATGCTCTGCTGGCTAAGAGCATTGTTCAAGGACCGCAACATAGGAGTGGGCCCTTTAATCGGGCTTGTGTGCAAGGGACTGATTGACTGCGTTGGGTTCATCTTGGGTGGTCCACGGGACTATACAATGCACACTGAGACCGGATTCAACTGTTTGAAGACCTTTCACTTGTCTACCTCTCCTTTCTTTCACTCCCGTCGTCTTTGTGCGCTTCGACCACAACTCGCTCCTTGTGTGGCTCAAGCTCATCTATTCACCTAGAATACGTGATACGATCTGACAAGTCAAATTTGTTTCAAACCATTCCTTTGTCTGTCTTATTTGGTGCTCGTGCCTCCGGTGGCCTTGCTGAGTCTTGCTAAGTCTGGACCGCGAACTGCAACATGGAGCCCAGCAAATCTGGATTCCCTCTAAGCTGGCCAAGGCAATTACCGGCTCAGCCTTTCAGACTGTCACCTGCGACGGAGTCGTCCAGTCAATTCGAGCTTTCTCATATGGGATCCGGTAGCCCTTACTACGATCACCAATTTGTCGGAGGTGATGTGAGAAAAATATTGCAAGACTTTCGTTCCGATGGACTGGACCGTTCAACCATCTCATATCTTCTCAGGCCGGAAAAATTCATCCAGTTACGCCAAATAGCCATGGTGAATGTAATCGTCCTCCAAACCGAATTAGATCGCGTCTATCCAGAGCAGCCGCGGTCGAAGGCACCGAGATTAACTCAGGCGCCGGAAATGTGTTATCCATCTGGTGTTCCTAATCTCGGCTCTACCCAATCTCAATTGCCTACCTCGACAAACCTAGGCACCTCTACAACCGAGTTTTACACGCCAGAACTCGAAAGCCAGTTTCAAGGACGAAATCTGCATCTGAATTGGATGTCTCCACCGGAAGGGATGAAGGCGATGACTTCTAGGGATACGGCCATTCACAGGAACAATCCCCCGATCGCCTCAACGAACACCTACTCTGCGCTGCCTCAACGGCAGGACTCGCTTCTGGTCCCAAACGCAAGAAGTATGGCCTCTCCATATCTCCAATATCCCCAATCAGGTGCTCCGAGACCGTCTGATGTTGCCGATGCTGGCATACCTAACATGGTGCCAAACTCTGCAACCTGCTACAGCGCAGGTGGAAAACCAGCACAAGAATATGAATCATTGGTGGATACCACTGCTTCGACTTATCTGCTGAGTCGCGAAAGCACCGCTAGAAAGGACCAGGACAAATATCCCTGTTCCGAGCCAGGTTGCTCTAAGAGGTTCGTGCGCGCAGTCGAGCTGGGGAACCACTTGAAAGGGGACCACGAACAGGACGACACCTACTTCTGTCAACACCAAGATTGTACCTTCGAGAATCACCGGCACGCGTCCTGGGCACGACACCACAGCAAGGGACACAACTCATGCAAGAAGGGCGACGCATGTGTCAAGACCACCCACAACCGACAGAAAATGTACTGGGGCTGTTCGATCTGCGTGCACCTGTCGAGCGATGTGACCTACCATGTTAATCACCACCTGAGTCATTTCAAGGACGGATCGGCACAATCTAGTGATATCAAATATTCCACCATGATTCTGAGCTTGCTCTCTCAAGAAGCAACCCAGGATGGATGGGAAGCACGCTGCAAGGGGATGTCGATTCAGGATCGTGAGCATCACCGTTCGCTGACGTCCTCCACCTGCGGGAACATTCGAGTGGCACTGGAGTATGGAAAATATCGAGGCCTCGATCTTTCCGAGCCTAATGTCGCAGATCACCTCCTGGACGAAGTGATTGGCTTGATATCCCGCAAACGCAAACGAGACGTGCCTGGTATGCCGAATTTCGACAACTCATATTATCCCTTGTCGTACCCTGGACTCGATCCCGCGAACAATGGTGCAGTTTTTCTCAATGCCAATCCCGGATTCAATGAACCCTACTGATCGACGGTCTCCTCACGATTACGACACCCTCAATCATCCTCACCTCAACGCTTTCTGGGTTCCTATCGCCCCATTTCCCCTATTGTCAAATGCTCTGGATCCTCGTCTGTGAGATGGTGGATCATTTAGCAAACTCCCCTGGACTTTTTTTATTCCTCAATTCGCTTCACGTTTTCCAATCAACGATCTAGTACGACTTCAACGCTCTTACGATTCACAGAAACCTCCGAGATGGACAAGCCTCAGAATACTTAACGATACCCAGTCATGTATTCATAAGCCTACGGATTGTCCCATTATTGTTATTGTGGAATGGAAGGAGTTGTGTGGACCTTGTACCTCTACCTGTATTATTATACTATATTTTGTCAACGGTATTACGAATGTGGACACTTTATCCAGGCATGCGATTTTCTAGCATGTTAATAAGATTTTTTTTTGGGCTTTTGAAATCCTTTACGTGCCACAAAGTGCTCACCGCCTCATTCCTTTTCGACACATAAGCGAAGATTGAGGCTCTTCTTGTATGCGTTGTCATAAAGTTTGAGTAGCGTTCTGATCAAGCGAAACGGTCCGTTTCTTAATCAGTGGCTCCTCTTTGGCTTGCTTGGTGGAGTGACTCACGGGAAATACATATCCTTACCGAGTACTGGAGACTTGTCCATTGATGACAGCCCCGACAAAGTAAGGGGCCACTAGGGCATTGCCGGTGGCCACTTTGGGCCCCAAAGGCCTAGAAGCCAAGGTGCTCCAGGCCTCCTTCTTAGGTACATCCCTAGGTAGGTACCTAGAATTCAAGGTTGCGTGTGCCTGGATGCCTGGCACCTGGAGCCCCCAATATGCACCCCAGTCACTTACTTCATCTGGAGATCCCACCTTCCACGCAGGACTCACACGGCAGCCCTTCTATTCTACCAACCCCTTTATCACCTGCAGTCTTCGAGGTAGTGGTGGACACTCGTATCCGTCTTGCTCCCACCCTCTTTTCCCCTGACGTGTCCTCAACGTCTTCGTCCCCTACTGGCTGCATCCCATTTTTTACCCACACAATTCTGCTCAGGTTCCGCTCATTCAGCTCGCGCCTGGATTCCACACCCCCTTCCCAAAGGGGCTTGGGGAAGGCTGAGAAGCACTTTTACGTTACAGGTGAGATGGAGCCAACCATGGACACTAGCTCATGAATGTTGTGCAGTTATCGGCTCCGAATCGGCAGCCTAGGGAGGGAAGCGACATCTGAATCCTTCGAATTCGCCCGGTTTCAGCCTTACTTATCCTTCATTCTGGTTGTCCGGAACTTGAAAACATGGCCTCAGGAGGCGACACCATGACAGGAGGCATGGTAAATTGCCGCAGTTGTCAAGAGCTTGGAGGACAAATCACGAGCGAAAATGGCTGCCTCAACAATGGATTGGTGGACTGAAAATGGAGTTCCCTGCTGTGTAACCCACGGGCGCTTGCTGAACTCTCCCAATGACACCTTTCTCGGAGAAAGAAATACGAGCTCTGCTGGGTACAGAACCCTCCCTTGTCCTTGTGGGACGTCATGTGCGCTTGTCGGAATACGGGGCTGCAACAGCTCGTCAACGCCTGAAGAAAAGGATGGTGCGCAGGATCGGTGGCTTCTGCAGCTGTCGTCAAGGACATCTTTACCGACAACAATGCTTGCAGCGCACCCATTGACTCTTGCTCCTCCCTGGCTCCAGATCCGGTATCCTTCATTCAAGGCGTTGCATTCAGCCCAGGACAACCCACCCCTTTTCACCGTCCACCAGTCAAAGCCCTGTTCCTGAGCGTGTAGGGAAAGCCGCCTTCTGTCCTGCCGTTGCGAGCATCTCGCTCGAAGTGGAAAGGTGCCAGTGGCGCCTTGGATACCCCATTGATCCTCCTTGCTGTGGCAGGGGTCCCACGGCAGAGAGTGCTCAAAAACACCCCCCTCAATACGAGAGTGCTGTGAAATCGGGCAAATGCTGGACGAATGACCAGCATAGACTTTTCTCAAACCTTTCTTTTTCCCCCCTTCAATGCACCACCACGATGAGTCTAATAGGTGTCGCACATTTGATGGTGGGCAGCTGCTCGTTGAAAGCGGAGTGAGGCTCAACTCGCAAAACTATCTGCGCTCACCACCCCCCATGAATTCCTGTAATTGACCCCGTATCTCTTTTTCTCTTCTCACGTTCAAATCCTCCTCATCATCTGCCTGGTAGGCCTGGAAACATTCTCTCTTTTTCTGATTGCTAAGACGGTGCTTTGTGGGTTGCTTCCACTCTTTTCAGCGCGTTGGATATCTGATACTCGACCTGTCGACCATCGCCCTCATTTCGACCAGTTCTGCGCCGGCGCAGCCCTATCCAGTCATTCCACCCAGCCGGCAAAAGAGATACGTTCTTTGTAATCACGGTCAACTTCTGCAATGGATCACATCTCGAACAATCGTTTCTACATGCAATACCAATCCTGTCCTCCGGGCGCCTTCGGTGGCGCCTCGTTTCCGTCCCAGCTCACCAATTTCAGCCTGCACACATTCAATGGTGATGAAGAGCTCACACAAGGGCCAGATATTGTCAAAAATGTTCAGTTGCTGCTCGATGCAGGCCTGGACCTGCGCACAATTTTCAAACTGCGGCAAATCAAATATCGAAATGCCCTGAACATACTAGCCGACGCAGAAGACGACGAGCTTTGTACCACGTGCGAACATGCTGGGCTTACGCAGCCCCGACAACTACCTCAGCAGATCAGAGCGCGACTGTCACAAGGCTCCTCTGTCTACCCTCACTCTCGAGTCCCCAGCCTGATTTCCGATCGATCCGGCATCAGGTCTTCTGGCATCCTCAGCACACCTGTCCAAGATCTTCCTCCCTCCAGACTTGGGTATGCTAGTGATATGTCACCCATGGCTACACAGTGGGCCTGGGGAGATGAGATGTCTTGTGTATCTACCAAGTGCATTCAGGACTCAACCATGGACTATTTGACAAGTGGCGAGGAACAACAGTGTTATCCACTGGATCCACCATGCGTCAATGATGTGGGCGCCGCTTACTCGCAGCGGCAGTATGGCATTTCCGCAGCCATGCCAGCTAAAGTCGAGTTGGCTTTCCGTGCCCCAGCTGCAAATGGATCTATCCCACAGATTGGAGGTGAACAAGGCTTTGTATTCACGGAAACTACGATTCGAGCCCCCTTTATCGCCGAACAAAACCCAACACAGGACCAGAATGGGGTGAAAAAGTCTAGATTTCCATGTCCAGTGCAAGATTGTCAGAAGGATTTCTCCAGCCCCAAAGAATTTGCAAAACACTTGATCGGAGACCACGACAGGGACTCCAAGTTCAGCTGCAACCATCTCAACTGCGCATTTTGGTCACATCGCCTCGCCTCCTGCAAAAGACACCACAGTAATGCCCACAGCGATTGCCAAGTGACTAAGGATTGTACACACGTCAATCGCCTGAGAGTCAAGAAACACTGGGCCTGTGGCTTGTGCCTCAATTTGGAGGTTGGCGTGCATGAATTTGCCACCCACTACAAGAGCCATTTCGAATACGACGACATCCAGAAGAGCGACATCCGCGTCTCTAACATCATCCGCAGCCTGCTCATGCAGGATGCCACCAAGGACAAATGGGAGAGGCTCAACATTGACTGGTACTATCCGCTGTCCTGGGATGGAAAAGACGTGGCGGAAATCCGCGAAGCACTCGAGTACGAAACCTACAGGGCGTCCACGTTCGATGTGCCTGGTGTCGTCGATAGACTTCTTGAGGAGGTGATTGCTTGTGGCACCCACAGTGGGTGAGGCTATGTCCCTGCGCTCCTCGACTATCGCCAGCAAAAGACAAGGCCGTACAGATGACATTGTTCACGAGTCCGTCCCTACCATTGTCATCTCCAGCCGCCTCTCGACGGATGTGGCCCCAGCCACTCAGCTTGATGACATTTATTTCTCCGTCTTCCCTTCCCACACCACTGTATTGCTAGCAGACCCTCTATTTTCTTTTAATCTGCTTGCCGATTCTATACCTGGCTCGCAAAGAGCTTTACAAAGAGATACACTCCAAGCTGGATCTTGGAGAGAGAGAGAAAAAAAAGAGATGATGGCCAAACGGTTATAGAAGGGGAGGACGGACTATACCCTGGTTGCTTGTTTCTTGTTTCTCGTGTGTTTTGTCCTGTATTATTACCACCACCCCCTTGTCCCACCGTCGTTATCATCATCATCATCACCATCAACATCACCACCACCACCACCACCACCACCACGGCTATCACCGACGGACATATCGTCTACTTACTATTCATGGTGTTTACTCAGTCACCTTTTGCTATTCACTTGTATCCCCCCACCACCATCCCCTTTCCCATACCCATACCCACATCTCACACCGGAGCTCCAAAGTTCCCTGGCCTTCCCCCTTCCCCTTCCCACTCGCCCTGAAAACCCCATGACACCCATGTTTTATTTCTGTTTCTGTTTGCAAACAGCGCGGTGTTTCCCAGGAGGTTTTGTTTTGGTTGACTGGTGGCCATGTATGTATCTACGTATTATGCGTTATGTGTTATGTATGTATGTATGTATGCGTGCGTGCGTGCCTGCATGTATGGGAGTCAAGCGTCGTCGTGGGCTAGCAAGTCCTAACCGGCCGGCCCGCCAGCTGGTGTTTAATTCCATGATCCATGATGAATGATACGTATTACTTTCAAGCGATCTATCAGCAGACTAGTCAAGCGAGCTCTCGCTGGCTCTGTCTGGCTCTGGTTCTAGCTACATAGCTTGGTTCTCTGTCCTTGTCTGTCTTGTCTTTTTTTTTTTCTCTCTTTCTTTCTTTCTTATGACTGACGCCGGTGGAGAAGAATTGAAGGGAATCGACGTCTTCCGTTTGTTCTGTGAGGGTTTGGTGCTTCTACAAGTATAAGCACAGGCATGAGGACAAAGGGAGCAAGGAGCAAGGAGAAGAAGGAGAAGAAACCCCAGCCTCGACACTAGGTAGAGAGCGACAGGCTCTGAGAGATATCTACCTAGTAGGGTACACAGACAGACACATGGACATGACCTGTTCCTTGGTTTGGTCCATGAGCCGTGGGACCTGGATACAAAGAGAACGAATGGATTGAGTGAACAACAATACCGTTTTGAAGCTTAAAGGGCTCAAGAGCCAAATGAAGAATGAAGGATGAAGGATGGTAATAGTACTACAATTAATGATTACTACAAGTACATCCATGTTAATACCTACAGTGTAGTACACTGTCCCCTCCAGAATCCTTGCACTGGAACAAAGAGGATGAATGCAGGTCGCCGCCGCTGCCGGGTAATCCTCAATTCCGTGGCCTCGGCGTGTGTGTGTGTGTGTGTGTGAGAATGTATAGAAGGGGTTTCAGCCTTGTTGTCCTCATGTGCTGCCTCCTGTGGAGAGGAAGGGGGAGATGGTGACGGACACCATGTTGCTGATCATTGCATCGACCTAGATCTTTCCACCCTTCCATGACTGCCTCGGCCAGGAGAGTCATGCGTCATCTACCAAACCATGGGCGTCTGGCAGAGGTGTTGAGGCTGTGATTTCACTTCTGGTCATGTCAACGAAATTGATATCGTGGTGGTTGAGTGTGACTTATTTCTTATCCGGGCTTTCAGTGGGACCTGAATCTGGCTCCGCGGCTCGCTGCTCCGCCGTGGTCGTTGAGGTCGAGTTTGGCTCCTGCATTGTTTCTCCTTCAGACGTCGGATGGGTTGGCTCCGCAGCGGTTTCACCAGAAAGTCCCGGCACTGTCGCAGGGGGTTCGCAAGAACTCGTACCAGACTGGCGTTCCGCTACTGAAGACAGAGGAGTTTGAGGCGCGGATTGCATCCCAACGCGGGGCTCGACGCGAGATCCAGAGCTTGAACCAGGTGTTGCGGGAGGCTGAGGAGGACCAAGGTGTGACCTTATCCTCGTACTAAGAGAGTCCAGTGGGTCTAAAGGATTGGGAACGAAGCCGTACGCCGGAGGCGGATTTGATCGAGGCCGTTGCTGTGAAGGTGGAGGCAGAGATTGCGGCGGTGGATAGTGGTACGCATGAGGGTGTGTTGCAGCCGGAGCACTTCCTGGGGCATGATTAGGGTACGAGAGACCGGGTTGACCCGGTGGAGGATAAGGATAAGGGTATGGAGGAGGACCGTAGTTCCATTGCACAGAGTGGGAAGGGTGTTGGAACTGCAGGGGAGGGAAGTATGCGTGAGGCGGAGGTGGTGGAGGAGGAGGTGGTGGAGGAGGATAAAGTGTGCCTGGAGCGGGAGGCAAAGGCCCCTGTTGTCCTTGATATTGTAAAGGAGTCAGTCGACCCGGCTCTGCCAGCCCTCTTTCCTGTCGTTGTTCGAGATCGCGAATTTTTTGCTCAGCTTGCTCCAGTCTAGCACGTAGCTCTAATTCGGTCGAAGATACTGGCGTCACTGTTTGGCCGCTGCTCTGTGGCATCGCAGGTGGCGAAGCTGCCGTAGCGGCAAGGGGTGCTGACGCTACAGGAGCCTCGCTCGCAACTGGGGCCTTCTTTCTGGAGCGTCGCTTTTCTTTCTGTGAGTCCGCAAGAGTCCAAGTAAATGTACCGGGGATCACTTTCTTCTTCCGGTTATTTCCGTCACCAGAGGTCGGAGTATTGGCGGAGTCGGCTTTGACGGTCGGTGCTTCTGAGGTATCTGGCTCAGCTCTATCTTCGTCCACCCTGCCAAGGAAATCAAACAAGGGTGCCAGACTGTTCTCCCGGCGTAGCGTAGTCGACTCTTCGTCCGCAGGCGCGACCGGCTCGGCAGCAGGTTTCTTGGGTTTCGGCGGTTTAGGTGCACTTGACTTTCTCCTTTTTGGTCTCACGAGCTTTTCAGGATGAAATATTTCCAGGAGACGTTTGCGTTTCGATCCATTCCGCGGATTTGGGGCTCGTTCTTCGAAGGTCTTGTGGAGGGGAATGTGCTTGTAATGAAGTTCCAGACTGTCCTTTGTCACGGAGAATTTGACAGAGATCAAGCCATGACAGTCGTACACCGGTTTGCGAACCTTGACACCGGCTTTCATCTTGGAAACGCCTTCATTAGCAGCGCGACCTTTGTTGAGAACCGAGTCGTTGCAATCTGGCGTCTAGTTAGTGATGGAAATCATGTGCCGCAAAGGAGAATTTTGTAGCAAGAGCTGCTTTCCAAGGCAACCCACAGTATGAAAATCTGCTCGCTTGATCCTCTCGACTGATCCAATGATTGTGGAAACTGTAACGATATCCATCTACGTTTTGACATGCTTCAACGAGGGTCTTGCTGATCCCTTTCTGCATGATTGCACGTTCCTTAGGGTCTTTGATCGTGTGTAGAGCATCAACGACGGTTATTGCGGTCTTATTGAAAGGACTGTAGATGTATGGCGTCTTCTTATCGTTCAGATCTCCTTTGTTGGTTGCCTCCCTCGCAGCTACCATGAATGCGGCAGTGACTGGAAAGTCAAACTCCAGCGTAGTGTGCTCGCGGTCAATGGCCGGATCTGCCAATTGCTGCTTGAGCGCGGCCTCGAGATCTTCCAGTCTTTGACAACTGATCATTATCGACTTTGCCAATGGATCTTTTGCATGACGACCCTACCGATCCTATTAGACCGGACTGATTTGGCCGAGCCCGATACCGGGGTCCACGTCGACGGTAACGACATCTCAGCCTGGACCACTTACGCGTGGGCGCCTGGGGCGCATTTTGCCATTGCTGCCCGGCACCATGCCGACTACACCATGTGAAGCATCTTCACAGATGTTGTCTGTATTACCTTCCTGCGACTGGTGCGATTCGGTAGGTGTGTCGTCTGGCGGACCAAGGGTTTCTGGTGTTTCCATCGTGATGATGGGCTGTACAGTACCGCGTACCGTGGATGATGGGGGGCATGAATTAAGTGTCTTTTGCAAGGCAGAATGAGACAAGTTGGAGGGATCGCAAGGATTTCCCTGATTCGAAAATCCCCTGCCAAGACCGTCGTTTGATTGTGGTCATTGGCTCTTTTTCTCACCGCATTGGATGTGTACCTATTCGTTATTATGCACCACTGCGGTCACAACCTCCCCATTTCAAACACCTCTTTATGTTGAGGAGAGTGATTTCTGTACTGCCGAGGCCTCAGATCCACTCAGAGCACATATCGAAATCCTTCTTCCAATATACACATCGTGGTGCATCAATGTCTACCTCTGCGCCCTCAGGCGAGCCCCGGCCCATTGTAATCTCTGGGCCCTCGGGCACTGGCAAAAGTACTCTGCTAAAGCGACTGTTCGCGAAACATCCCGACCTCTTCGGCTTCAGTGTCTCACATACCACTCGAAAGCCCCGACCAGGCGAGGAAGATGGCGTCCACTACCACTTTATAACCCCCGAAAAGTTCGAGTCAATGATTGCAGACAATGCATTTGAGGAACATGCGAAATTTGGTGGGAACTACTACGGCTCCTCGAAGAAGGCTGTTCAAGACGTCGCCGAAGGGAAAGGCAAGAGCATTGATGGCAGCACAGCTCCCGGCAAGAGAATATGTATCTTTGACATCGAGATGGAAGGCGTCAAGCAGTTGAAGAGGAGCAAGTTGAACCCAAGGATATGCTTCATTCAACCGCCCAGTATTGAGGTTCTGGAGCAGAGACTTCGAGGCCGTGGCGATACGACCGACGATGCAATCCAAAAGCGTCTGGCTCAGGCCAGACATGAGATCGAGTATTGTAAGACCGAGGGCAAAAACGACAAGGTCATCATCAACGACGATCTGGATGCCACGTTCCAGGAACTTGACGAATGGGTGATGAAAGAACTTGGTACAGAAGCCTCGGGTTGATTCACCAAGCAGCAATGGTGCGAAAATAGAATATCGGTGCGCGGAGTTACGGTCCAGAAGTTACGGCGATGAACAGTCATGAGAATTACCTTATACCCCAGCTCGAAGACGAAAGGCCCGCTCTCTGCATAGACGCTACATTAGAATAAAGTTTCAGGCGACAAGAAAAGGATATGGCAATCGCTCAAGCTCAACCATTGCTTTTGTCAAATCCATCCCCATCCCCATCCCCTTGCTTGACTGCTTCATATGTGCAAATCTCCTAATATCCGTTCATGGTCACGCGCTGCGAACCCCTGCTCAATTCACGGTCAGCAGCAGGGCTGATTGGTCTGCTGCCAGCCATGCCACTTGCAGCACTGCTCTCCTTCAGTGCCAACAATTGTTTGGCTCTAAAGGTCTCGTAGTGGATCTGGCTGGTGGTCTCGATGAGGTCTTGGAGGTGAGTTCGGGTGAGGAAGTTCCGAAGGTACACGAATTCGCAGTGGTTCTCATCCTCGACGTTGATGATACCCCATTTGTTTTGTCGACCGCGAACTTGCTTGCCATTGACAATGATTGACTTCTCACTGCCGACAACTGCAAAGGGGATAATGTCCTTGATGGTGGCATTGGTTGCTCTTTCCTCATCGTCCAGCTCTTCATTGTCATACGGATACATCTTGAGGTTGTGGAAAGCAAACTCCTCCTTGATCCGCTCCTTGAACGCCCTGCGCTCTTCAAGTGTGAGGGAATCGGCTTTCGCAATGACAGGAACCACGTTGACGACGTCGGAGAGTTTCTTCAGAACCACAATGTCAATCGGCTTTAGAGCATGGCCGGAGGGTTGGATGAAGAAGAGACAACAGTGGATGCGGGTGTCTTGAATGTAGCGTTCTCGCTGGGCGGTGAGTTCTTTTCGCAGGTAGGCAGAGTGTTGGTCTTTGATGTATTTCACAATAGGATCCCAGCTATACGACAGTCAGTCCCATGGTTCAAAGCCATCGCCAAACATGACAATTTCGCAAAACCTACCAGCGATCGTTGTTAACCAAATCACCATAGCCAGGGGTGTCGACAATGTTCAGCCGTAGTCTCACACCATTTTCTTCAATGACTACAGAAGTGGTCAGTGACACGTTTCCACACACCTAAGGGACGATTAACTGACTGTGCGACACGGTCTGGATTTCAGTAGTGGAGCGTGTTGGTTCATCGGGTCGAAGTCGGCCTTTAGAATCTATGAGGTGGCTCGCGAAGATCGTGTTGATGAGGGTCGATTTTCCAAGTCCAGTCTGGCCTAAGCAGAGTGAGTGTTTGAGCCTCAGAGAATGTCTTAAGAGCCTTACCAACACAGATGACGTTGAATTGGAAACCTCTCTTCAACAACTTCTTCTCAATTTGTTGGGTGATAGAGTCGAAGCCCACATGTGAACGTGGGAACACCGCGTTCGGCTGGTTCATAGCCATGGTCATCGTGTCTGTTCGATGATGCAGAGGTCAAGGATATCAATGCGATGAACGAGACAAGTTTGTGTTAACACACAGTTGAAGACAAGAGAATCGCAGGATTTGGCTTGTGCACGAGAAAAGAAGGAGTTGCGACTGCCTGCGACGAAACAATTTCCCCAGACGATCTTGCCAGCATTGAAAGAAGGACCCCCTTTTTGTCTCGTGCCAAGGGACAAGGGGCGTTCACTTCAAGAAAGCTAAACGGTGTACCCGGTACGTTCTGTGCCGCTGCTTTATTGCGCGTCCCTGACTAGCCATTTTCTAACTGTGAAAAGCTAGCGCGCTGTTTGCGGAGCTCATTGCAGAAAGATTCTCAAGAACATTGTTCCACATAGCTCATTAGAAGGAGCAGCAACGCCGCAATCATGGCACTGGCTGCTGCATTGAGTAGCTCTCAATTGTCACAAATCGCCCTGCGAAGGAGTCCAGCTGTACTTTCCGGGTCGGTACAATCATGGCCATTCTCTAACATCCTCTCCGCATCCGTCGCAGTACCCTCAATCGCGACAAGCATCCCTGGCTTCCTCTCAGACGTCTGGGAGGGGATCTTGAGGGCAGTGCCAAAGAAAAAGACGTCGCATATGAAAAAGAGACATCGACAACTCGCGGGAAAAGCTTTGAAGGATGTAAAAGCAGTCAACCAATGCCCCGGCTGCGGGAGACCCAAAAAGGCCCATACCTTGTGCCCATATTGTGTTGCGGGTCAGTATAATATACATGAATATAGTTACTCACGCTGATTGAGGCTGCAGAGATCTATGAGAGTTGGAAACACCGAGATGCAGAAGCGAGCGGAACAGCCAAATCAACAGAGGGAGCCAAAAGTTGAGAGACTGAAACACATCTTCCGGACGGAGAGGAGAGGACAATGCATATTACACAAAGGGATCTGCTAAGTCAAATATACCACCGGCTCTTCATTCCCGCGGAGGGCCAGTATCCCAGATCCTGATGCGCATTGTTACATCGCCTTCCTTCCCATGACTTCCCGACGAGATGTCACCAAAGACGTACCATTGATGTGTATAGCATCAGGCGATGGATATTCACAACGACTTGGGCAGCCAGACAGAAGTATGGGTCAAGCGGGATGAAGATCGACCAAAGACGGAACACGACCAAGGCAAAGTCGCATCGTCAGTCAGTCGGAGACCCTAGGGATGGCGTTTGGCGGAGCCTAGGTGATGGAGACATGGTTCAGGATGATTCTAGCACTTGGGTATGTGCAATCTGGGTGAAGGAATAAGGGCTATCTGACCTGTGTGCACCCTGTCACACTGTTCAACAATAAATTGGAGGGGTGCGGAGCATTGTAAAACTACGTCATTTCAAAAATAATTTGTACCGCAGCCAAAACGGAAGCCAATCCAGTCTGCTTCATCCGATTCACATAGGTTCGACGCTCTTGCCCATATTATCCCGATTGGCTTGTCTCACTCAGCTTGCCGTATAATGTATCGACGCGGTCGACATGGTCTGTAATCCAAATTTATCTGAATATGCGGTCGCGGTGACTGACATAGCCTCAGTCGAAACAATATCTCGCTCTCCATTCGATCGATGAAGGTAATGGCAACCTCCACAACATGTTCTTATTCTGCAACCAAGTTAACATTGTGCAGCCCATACCACAGATATCTTTGCCCTCGCTGTAACTCAAACGCAAATCCTTACAGGTTCGGGCGAGAACTCGATCAAAATCTATTCTGCCACCGAGGAAGGCTTTCCCATTGCTCAGATTCTCAAGGACGCCCATAAAATCGGGTGTCACCACATCAGCACAGACCGCAGCACCGGCACGAGAGCTGTCAGTGTTGGCTTTGGAGGTGAGGTCAGAAGATGGAAATACGAGGAGGGCAAGTGGCAGGACGATGGAGCATTCGACGTCGGGGCAAAGAAGAAAACAGGAGAGATTTGGGCGGTGTCTTTGTCCTCTGACGGAAAGTTTGTCGCTGGCACAACCCACGATGGGCGAGTGAATGTATGGGATCTAGCAAGTCGGGAGAAGATCCGAGAATTCGAGACTAAGGGGAGTTTTGGGATGTCCGTGGACGTGGTAAGAATCCCCTTCATCTACCGAGCGTGGCGTTGACCGGTCAATGGAGAATACACTGACATTTCCCGTTTTTCTTGAGAAAACAGTCGCCTGATGGCCGGTTCATAGCCAGTGGCCACGAGTCCGGAGCGATCTACCTGTTCTCTACGGCTACGTCTCGCCTACTGCACTCACTCCCCGGACTCATCAAACCCGTCCGCGCCGTCAAGTTTTCTCCTGGATCTACTCTTCTTGCAGCAGCTGGCGACGCACGAATAATCTCCCTTTACGATCCCACTTCAGGCGAGCAAATTGCCAACCTCAGTGGCCATGCAGCTTGGATCACAGATCTTGATTGGAATCACAGCGGCCAGTATGTCTTGAGCGGAAGTCTGGATGGCAAGGTTAAGGTGTGGGATATCGAGCGAAGAACTTGTGTTGCGACACACGGCGAGAGTGAAAAGGGTCTGTGGTGTGTCAAGTGGCAACCTAAGGGTGAGACCAGTGTTCAGCGACAGAAGGCTGAGAGGTTTGTCACTGTGGGGAGCAACAAGGCTGTTGCTATCTACCGGGAAGCTACCGGTGGATGAAGAGATTGGTCGGCGAGCAACCCAGAAAATATCTACCGGCAGAGTCGATGATACTTGCCACGCGCGACACCAATGAGTGAGCGCCCTTTCGGTGTTCAATGCACAGAACATCTCCTGGGACGAGAATGGAGGCATCGTATCCAGTAGTTGCAGCTACCAGAACGGTCTTGCCACTCAGTGGTAATCTGCCAGACGAGGGTGAATTAGTCAAATCCTAGAACATAGGAGCTTACGCAGTCGATGGGACAATGTCCAATATCTGCCGAGTTCGTGGAAATGGTTGTATCTGACCCTAGGAAGATTGGCAAAAATGGAAGGCGATCAGATAGTCAACGTTTTCAGAAAAGGCAGTCGTGCTGCCTTTAATTGTATCCTGTCTTTTATCGTCTGTAGAGCTGAGCGTTGCCCTTCCAACACCGACGACGAGGCTGCAGCACTCAGCCTTGCCAAGAAAACTCCAGCCTTGCAGCAACTCCACCCAGCAAAATCATTTCAACCCAGCCTTTTAGCTCCTTCAATTTTCTTTCTTCACATATTAGTCCAAGGCACTCAATATACCCTTGTTGAATGCACCTTCGCTCCCGTTGCGTCCACACATTGTCGAGCTGCCAAGATTATACAAGAATGCCTTTCTAATCCAACTCCGCTTTATTCTCGCCAGAAGTCTGGCAGAATCGTGGTGGTGACTTGGTTCGCTTTCTGGCTGACAATATATCAACTTCAAACCCACTAAAGGACCTACTGCCTCACCCTCTGATGGCCTCGCCAAGTGCGATTCAAAGATGCAGTCAATAAAACTTCCCTTTTATCTTCCTCGCCGATCTCCTTCTCTTCTTTTCTTCTTCCCTCGGACCTCCCCCAGTCGCCACTTCGGTCCTCTCCTCGGGAACAACCTGAGCTGGTAACATATATATGCACTCATTCCTTCCCTGTCCCCTGCACTTGCACATGGTTCCGCGGGCTCATTCAAATTTTGGTCAATTCGACATCTCGATCTACCTCAAACTGCGCATCATCAGTGAACTGAGGCAAGGTGAGGTGGTGAGTAAGACCCGGCACTTTCGAAGCTTCATCCTGCTCCACCTCTTCTGGTTACCCCATAGCGGATGTTGTCAAAATCATGCCGAGATTGATAACCACTACTCAAAAGAGAGTTCTCCGGTATCGTGTTACACTTTGATTTGTGCCTGTGCTGGGATAACCTACCTTTCTGGCCAGGCAAGATAGATCTGAGTGCGTCAAATGAGGAGAGACATACCCTTTTACAAAGATAGGATGGTCGGTTTCGCTGTTTGAGCGCGACATGAGAGCAATGAAGATTTGAGAACCTCGAAGGCTTGAGTTAACGGATACGCTGTACGGGGTTTGGCACAAGCATCATGTGTCTGTACAACTGAAAGCATTTCATTTGCTTCTGTCTTTTGTTTTTAGCAGCCTGTACTGATACATTTAGTCGTCCTAGCCGGTGTCAGAATATTCAATGCCGTGACCTCCAGTATATATCGCTTCCCTATCATCTCAACATCCATCCGTGAATACAAAGATGAAAACCCAATTAAAGTTACAGGGCGTGTTTAACAATCTCCTCCGCTGTCCCCGCCACGCAACATTCGGTTCCAATTCAAACACTTTTGTGGTGATGATACCATACTCGGTCGTCATCGAATTTCGTGTCAAGAACTCCATACGTTATTGCAGGGTTATGCCACAGACAAGTCCTCATCTGTCTTCAGGTCTCTGCAATATGTGTGGTGCATTCCCCCTACTCTGCGCAAAGCTCTGGGCGAGCTAATCCACCTCTTTTCATAGCTCTTTCCTCTTCTCGTCCTCTTCTCTTCGTTTGCCAAAACCATAGGCAAGACCACCGCCTACCAAATTCACCAGACACAATCCCATAGTGGCACCTCGAATGATGCCTCTTGCGCCGAACTTATTCATGAGGCCCATTCTCCTCCTTCCAGCTAACACAAGGTAGGTACCACTGAGCGCAGCTGTCGTCCCCGCACTATCGATCTTGAATCCTTGGAGGTTAAGATAGGTCGAGAAGAGTAGCAAGGGAGGGAACAGCATGGGAAGAGGTTGGAAAGGCCGAGCATGTTGTGCGAAGACGAGGGTAGCAAGAAGAGCTGGGGGAACAGGATTCTCTGTTAGGAGCGTAAGCAGGTAGACTGGAGCAGAGTCAATCGCAATGCGAACGTTGCAGAGAGGTGTGGTTACAGACCTCCCCATTTTTTGGCTGTGACGATGAGAGACTCTTTGGCCTCTTCTTGTTTTTGAGGGTCAGCCATGTTAGATTCTATAACACTGAGCGGGATCCTCAGCGCATTTCGTTTAAAACCAAAGAGTTGATTGTGCAACCTCAAGCTGAAGGAGAGCTGGGGTGTAGGTGGAAAAAGCACGAGGCAAGTCAACGTCATTTCAGGGCTGGTATGTTTTCGGCAACAGTGCCTCTAGTCACTTGCAACCCACCCACCGTTATTCGGCGCGGGCTTGGGATCTTGTTTTTGAACACCTTTGCTACAAAAAGTTACACCCCGCCAAAAGTCAAACGAACGTCGCAAGGCCTGATCAGAATATCTTTTCTGATTCTTTGCAACTCCCTTCCCCAACAAAGACTGCGTGCGATCCTCCAGGCCTCTTTATCCTGCGGCATGTCCGCAACAGCTTCTGGCTCCAACGCGAGGCCAAACGGGTCTGCGACTTCACGAGAACACAATCAAGGAAACCAGGAGCGAAAATGGACTCCGCAACAGAAGGCCGAAGTGATAAGGATACGGAGATGCAGTCCTACGGCTTTCTACGAGATTCTTGCGGTTGAGAAAACCGCAAGCGACGGAGAGATTAAGAAGGCGTACCGCAAAATCAGTCTATTGACGCATCCGGATAAAAATGGGTATGAAGGTGCCGACGAGGCATTCAAGAGTGAGGATCAGAATATTTCCATTGTGCTGAAGACTACGATGCTGATGATGATCAGTGGTATCGCGAGCATTCCAAATCCTATCAGATGCCGAGAAGAAGTCGAGATATGATCAGTTTGGTGGTGATCCTGATAACCGCTTTTCTAGCAGTGGTGCTGCGGGCGCAGGAGCCAGTCCTTTCAGTGGCTTTGCGAGATCGCCTGGGAGAGGACCAATGTACGAAGATGAGATATCGCCAGAGGAATTGTTCAACAGGTTCTTCGGTGGGGGCTTGGGACCTGGGTTCCAATTTGGTAAGACATCCTGCGGGCATTGAATTATGTTGTGCGAATTGTACTGATCTGCGAAGGAGGTGGCGGCTTCGGTGGCCCTCAATTCGTCTTCAATATGGGCGGGGGTCCTGGTTTTACAGTACATCCCATGGGCGGCACCAGACCGCGAGGGAGACCAAGAAACGCGTCGGAAACTGCGCCATCAGGCTTGTCAGCGCTCACACAACTGTTACCACTGCTCCTACTTTTTATTCTTCCACTGCTATCATCATTCTTCTCCGGATCATCCAATTCAGGGCCACATGTCCGATACGATTCCCCGGTTCCACCACACACGATGCACAGGGTGACGCCCAGGTACCACATCGATTATTTCTTGAATCCCGCGGAGGTGGAAGGATACACATCCAGACAATTCAGCTCATTGGATCAACGGGCAGAAGTGGATTATGTTTCGACCTTGAAGTATCAATGCGAGAGCGAAGTACAAAGGCAGCGACACGAGATCAATGAAGCCACTGGTCTTTTCTTTACAGACGAGAACAGGTTAAAGAGAGCCAGGGAAATGGCAATGCCCGGCTGCCGCCGGTTGGACGAGTTGAAAGTTACCCGGCAGTACTAGTTGAGGAGCGGAAATGTCACATGAAGAATTGTTCGTGCTTGCTTTTGGGGGACTGTATCATTTTGTTTGGTGTTGGTGGCGCCATGTTCGCTAGGCAGACGGCAGGCTGCAAGTAGCTTGCCATATTCAAAAGATTCTTTGTTAAGGACCCGCATCCTTCATTGCCTCTGTACTATAGATCGTCTTCACCAGCCAGGAGTACAACCAGGCACCAGCCCTAGGTAGCAAAGTGCTGAAGAGCCCTTGGAGTAGTCCCTAGGCCCTCGTGGCAGCACCTACGTGTCTGAGTAGCAAGGCAGCAAACTGACTTGTCAGGCTCGTGCGGGGGCGGCCATACCCCGGGCACCACCGGTGGCAGTTGTTCCGAACCACTGATTCTAGTCTTTTCTAAACACCGTCGACGTCAACTTGAACCCCAAATTGTCGGCCTTCGCGAAACCTCGTGTGAACCTCGCGTGCAAGACTTTTGTTATCTATACCCACCGCAGCCATGGCGGATCCTTCTATGGACTCAGATAAGGTGCGTGAGATGCTCACGCATCAGGGTCTTCTAACATCGATTAGATCCGCAACAAGAGGCTCGCGAAATTGCAGCAGTCACAGCCGCCGCCGCAGCAATCGCAAGATGCCGTCGCCGCAGCCTCAACTCCCGCCGAAGATGGCGTTGAGTCAACGCCATCATCACAACCAGACACCCCCCAGGTTAGCACAGATCCTCTTCCCACGCCGACCGGATCAACAACGCCATCTGGCACCATCACGAAGGAACCATCCCCTCCACCTACGACCCGGATACGAATCACTCCGGCAAATGTCACCCCCCAGAAGCGAGAAATGGACGGCGTGGAGAGACCAAGTTCAAGACAGAGCTCAAGACCAAATGAGACCATCGAACAGTGGGAAGACCGCACGTTGAGGAATATTTTTCGTCTCAGCTTAAACCCTGAGCAGACGAAAGATATGCACGGTCAGCAGCTCCACGTTCTGACACAACTTAGAGAAGAGTTGGAGGCTGAAGGCAAACCATTGTTGTTGAACACCGATTTGATAGAGCAGGCCATTATGGAAGCAGGTGCAGCGCTGGGGGATTTGACTCCGCACGACTGGCTGTTCGGCTGTTGGAAGAGAATCACAAGAATGAGCAAGGCCGTCAAAGATCGGACGCCTGAGAACAAGAAATGGACCATTATCTCAGAGGCCAGGAGACTCTGCATGAGCTGGTGCATATTATCCGTCACAACACCTGATGTCTTCGGGGCAGACTATGATGGCGTGGCTGCGCTCGCAGACCACCTTCTCGCTGATCCGGACGAGGATGCAGGCGTTTGTCATGATTTCCTTACAGAAGTCATCACGAGGTTCGACGAGGATGAAACCATCAAGGAGGCATTTGTCGGCGCGGTTGAGAATCTGAGCCGGCGTCTTGCCAAACTGACCATGGACTCTGACTATCGACGCTACACTGCCATGATTCGACACCTCATTAGATACAAACCCGTGGCCATCGCAATCACGCAATCGAAGCTGTTTGTGGATAAGTCAGTTCCAGCTGCCCAATTAGAAGTTGCCACTCTCCTTGGCCCCTTCTTTCAGCTATCGCCATTACAAGCAGAAGTGACGAAGCAGTACTTCTCTGGCCCGAAGACTATGGACCCGGGGAGGATCCGGAACTCTCAACAGTCACTTCAGATGTCGTTGAGGTCCCATCAAACTGAGCTCTTTGATATTATCAATACCCTTGTGCGAGCGTCTCCGGAAGCCCGAGAACGCGTGTTGGATTGGTTTGCTCTCGTGGTGAACGCGAATCACAAACGCCGCGCCATGCGTGTGGACAAGACGACGGTCTCGAGTGATGGCTTCATGATCAATATCACCGCCATCTTGGATCAGTTGTGTGAACCGTTCATGGATGCACAGTTCTCAAAGATGGACCGAGTCGACATTGACTATCTCCGACGGCATCCTCGGGTCGACATCAAAGAGGAAACAAAAATCAACGCTGATCAAGAGCATTCTGACGAGTTTTATAAGAATCAGCTCGAAGGCACCAACAACTTCATCTCAGAATGCTTTTTCCTCGCCGTGGCTGCTCATTATTATGGGAGCGAAGCAGCCCGAAACATGCTCAAGGACATGGACCGAGACCTGAAACATATGGCCAAACAAATTGAGATGTTCGAAACAGAACGGCATAAATACGCCAATAACCCTGCTCAGCTGGCCATGTTCGAGAATGCACTCAAGAAGTACAAGGATCAGCACGACAAAGGCTTGTCCTACAAATATGCTGTACAAGGCGTACTGCTGGACGAAATCGCGCAGACTCGTTCGATGCAATTCATGCGTTTTGTCACTGTCTGGATTCTCCGTCAAGTCTCTCCTCACCGCCAATTTCCTAAGCAGCAATTGACGCTTCCTCTTCCAGCTGAACAACCCGAGACCTTCAAGAATCTCCCTGAGTATTTCTTGGATGTCATCAGCAGCAATTTTGGATTTATCATGTACAACATGCCTCAAGTCATATCTTCAACGCAATCGGACGAACTGATAATGCTCTGCATCACCTTTTTGCGCAATTCCGAATACATCAAAAACCCATATTTGAAAGCATCTTTGGTTACAATCCTCTTTCGAGGAACGTGGTCATGGCGTCAAGGCGGAAGAGGTATACTCGCAGACCAATACAACAGCATGCCGTTCGCGACAGAGCACTTGCTGCACTCATTGATGAAGTTCTTTATAGAGGCGGAGTTCATGGGCGGGCACGGCCAGTTTTTCGACAAATTCAACGTACGCTTCGAGATTTTCCAGATCATCAAGTGCATATGGCCGAACACAGTCTACCGTGACAACCTGCTGAGGGAAGCAAAAGTCAACATGGAGTTCTTTGTAAGGTTCGTCAACCTTCTCTTGAATGACGTGACGTTCGTCTTGGACGAATCTTTTACTGCGTTCCATACGATTTATGACCTCTCGAAAGAACTCGCGCTTGCTGGAACATCGCTCGACCAGCAGCAACGACAGGACAAGGAGGAAGCTTTGGAGGCGGCAAAGAACAAAGCGAAATCATACATGCAACTGACCAATGAGACGGTGGCAATGTTGAAGCTATTCACAGAAGCCCTGGCGGACGCATTCACAATGCCCGAGATCGTCCAACGTCTTGCGGATATGTTGGACTATAATCTTGATGCGATGGTTGGACCGAAATCCACGACCCTCAAAGTCGAGAACTTACAGGAATACAATTTCAACCCCAAGGCTTTGCTGAGCGAGATCATCGACGTCTATCTCAACTTGAGCGAACGGGAAAACTTTATCCTCGCTGTTGCACGCGACGGTCGATCATACAAGCCTGAAAACTTTATCAACGCCGGCAACGTCATGCGCAAATTTGTTCTCAAGTCACCAGAAGAGCTCAACCGGTGGCAACGACTTATCGAAAAATTTGCCAAGGCAAAGGAAGAGGATGAAGCTGCGGACGCGGACTTGGGAGAAATTCCCGACGAGTTCTTGGATCCGCTGATGTTCACACTCATGGAAGACCCTGTGAGGCTACCCGTATCAAAGATTGTCATTGACAGGAGCACAATCCGAAGCCACTTGTTGAGTGATCCTCACGATCCGTTCAACAGAGTGCCGCTGAAGATCGAGGACGTCCTTCCAGGTCAGTTTCCTTTCCAGAAACCCCTTAACGTGAAGATAAACCACAGTTGTTTCCCGCCGTTCATGATACTGACAATCGTTCACAGCGACCGATATCAAAGAGCAGATCCAGAAATTCAAGGAGGAACGGATTGGAAGTCGGCGCAAAGACTTTGTGGAGACGGTCAAGACCGAAGCTGGCGGCACTGCCGACGGTGAGGCAATGGACCTGAGTTAGTCATTGCGACCTTTATCTTTGAGCGTTAGATGGAAAACTTCGATGGCTTGTGACTCCTCTCGGATGAGTCGTCAGCTAAGGTAAGTGTCAATGCATAAGCCACGAGTGATGCGATAGATCGAATGATGAAAGCTGGCATCAACCTTGTTGCATTCTTAGTCTATAACAGGTGTACAGTGGATAGCTGCACAAGATAGCAGCGGGATATGAGGTGAAGTAAGCAACAACACTTCTCATGGTAATGCCCATGGACAGTTTAGAGTCGCTTACCTGGGCCGCCTCTCCAATATGGTTGGGGGGAGAATCAAGACAGGACCAAATTGAAGGAGTATTTGGCAGAAGGTCATTTGTCGCAAATGATTGGCGTTATCTAGTACAGAGATGCGTGCCGAACCTATTGGGTGATGGCTGAGCGGACGCCGTGTCCACTTCTTCTTGAAGTTGGCGGCATCCATAAGTAGATCAGTCGATTGTTCATCAGGGGGTTCAGCCTCGTGCGCAAGGGAGGGAGGGAGGGACAAACTTCCTGAAACGGTTAGTCCAGTTCCCGGCATACGGGCCCCCCACGTTCTTCCTTCCTCTTCCGTCTCTGATGCTGCCCCTTTGTCGGTCGTGACTTGGACGTTTATATGCCGCAGTGAGACACGGTGGGGAACTGTGTCACATCTGGATCGTGTCTTCGCTGCGGCTTGTCCCTTTCCTGCGGATGGGTCGACATGCACCAGTAGGAGGGTGGCCCCCCCCAACCCAACCACCTGGCTGTCAAGTGTTTCTAGAGCCCGACACGAATACTGCCGCATCGTGTCTGTGGCGCCGCCAGTCCAGTTCAACCCGCCGCAGTTACAAGATAGAGTCGGACCGCTAGAGAGGGCCGCAGAGCGCTGGAATATGTGTGTGCGACATTCCCCCTGCGCCCCTGACGAGCAAGTTAGCGGTATGCCTCAAAGCGACTTGGCTTTTCTAGAGTGATTGGCCCACTTCTTGTCAGCCTGACACTCGGCCTTTGACGATATTACCATTTCAGCTCCCCCGCTTCTCCCCCTTCCCCTTCCCCTCTTCTCAGGTCTCGACTCTTGATTTTTGTTCTGCAGACGAGGTTCATATCAATAGGGCAGAAGTAGGATCCCGGTTGTATCGTTTCTTGCGCAGGAAGGCAGACTATCCGTCTATTTCCAATCGGACTCCTCTACTTCAACGAGCATACCAGGCGCTTGTCGTTCTTGTTCGAGCTTGGGCAGTTTCTCGCAGCGTTGCGGGGCACAATGACATGCAGTTACGTCGATGTTGTCGAGGTTTGCAAGGGGATTTGAGAACCTCGGGAATTGAGGCGGTGTCGTTCAAGATGGGATATCAGTGATGGCGGCTGTGGCTGTCGCTGTGGCTGCACTTTACCTTGGTCCTTGGTCCGTCATAGTGAGAGAGAGTCAGTGAGAGAGAGTCTTTGGACTCATGGGGCATGGTAATGGGTCAAGAAGTGTCGGATGGAGTTCATGATATCTCGAGGAGCAGTATTTTTGATCCAAGTTTTCTGCAGGAGAGAATGCAAATACGGCTGACGCATATGACTGGCTTGGTTCCCAAGGCCTTTGGATTCCCTCCAAAGCTTTTACTCCCCATTCCTGATCCGATGACCCTACAAGCCCGACCTGATGACCCGCTGATATCAGCTTCGTGGACCAAAAATTGACCAACCATTATTACCTCCCTGAGAATGGACTTTTGAAACGGCTAACCACTTGATCAAAGAAAAGTAAAAGTATCGTCGTCTGATTCACCTTCTTTTCACCAAGGTCCCCACGATGTGCGGGATCGTGCTGTAGGGATCGCACAGCTCGACCTGGACTTTGTCCCAGCCGCCGTCTCGCCGGGCCGCTCTGTGCAGGCTGGCCAGAGTGTCCCTGGTCAATTCACAGCCTCCCATGAGGGAGCTCCAGCCGATCGACATGTAAAAGTTTTGGAGGGCACGACCGACCGCGGTGCCGCCCTTCGCCCCGTCGCCGGAATTGACCACGTGCTCGCAGACGACCATCCTGCCGCCGGGTTTGAGGACGCTGTAGAGCCCCTCGGTCACGGCGTCGAGGTTCGGCACCCCGCACAACACCCGGATGCAGACGATCTCGTCGAACGGCGTGTTCTCCTGCCCGGCCCGGGTGTCGAGGACCCCGGCCTTTGCGAGGGCCGGGACCAGCGATTCCAGCTTCGCTTCGCAGTTCAGCACGTGGTACTTGTCCCCCAGCCCGGCTTCCGCTGCGCGCTTTTTCAACGCGGCGTGCATGCTCACGCCCGGTTCTGCTCCGTAGATGGCTTCGATGGCCGCGGGTTCCGAAAAACGGAAGAGCTGGTGTCCAGCGCCGGGACCCACGTCGAGGATGACGCCTTTGCTCTGAGCCAGGATCGATCCGAGCGCTGCGGGCGTGTCTCTGGCGCAGATCACGCCGCCGATGGCCCAGACGCTGGCAAAGGCCTTTTCCTTGTACCGGGCGAAATTACCGAACAGGAGGACCGGATGAAAGATGGCTGTCTGGATATGGCCTTTTGGAAACAGTTCAGTCAGTGCACAAAACGACCCCGGGACAGGATTCTTCCTCCACATTGAGCGCGTGTTCTGGCTGTTAAGGGGCACATACACATGACGCTGGCGAGCACAAATGCTCCAGGCAGAGCGTAAGACACTACCCGTTGGATGATATTCGAAGACTCCATCTTGTTCGAGAATAGTCCCTGGTGATATCGCGTTAGCTGTCCCCTTGACGGATTCTCGTGGTGGAGAGGAGAATGAAAAGACAGGGAAGAAAATCGAGGGAATAAATGAATACATCCAGGGCGCTGGGCGTCCTGGTTTGTTTGTCAGGCCAACACCCCGCCAGCCGTTCGTTCGTATTGACTCCTCGAATCAGTCTCTGCTTCAGCTGCTATGTCACATGCCTTGAGTTGTCCCGAATACGAGGCTGCGCAGATCCCTCCCATTGCAGGGGTCCTTCCAAGGCATGTTATTCGTACTTGTCCAAGGAAATCGGCCCAGCCACGTGTCAAAGGGTCAAGAGCCCAGACTTTCGTTTCTCTTTCGACCCTGGTGTTTGGGTCTTCGATTCTCGGATTCAGAGTCTAGACCTTGGAATGGCTGGTTTTACTCCTCTTCTGCCTTGGGCCCGCCATTGGGCGTCCGCACTGGATGCGTTGATGGACAAATAATGTTCAATTTCCATGATTCTTGTTACAAAATTGACTTGCTCTCAGCTATCCCGTTCCCTCCTGAGATTCCATGATTTGTCGCGATGCGACTTTCCCCATACCCGTGATTGTGGAGCCGCAATGTACACGCTACGGGCTTGCTTTCATCGCCTATACTCCAGCCTCCATCCTAGCAAGTTGACTGGAAGATAAACTCAAGGTAATGTGCTGTATTTGTTCCTTTGACTCCGTCGTTAGCCTCACATGGAGATTTCTGCTCACGAGCTCAGTGGCGTCCATCGAAAATCTTCATGGGCGTCCAGCCAGGAAACCTCTCCTCATTACGGGCGCCTCTGGAGAGGAAGAGGCTTCAATATCTCCAAGATCTCTCTGCTGACCCTGAAGTCAATGTCATCATTGCGACTGGCTGTGAGAACTCAGCATGACCCATCGTGCGGCTCAAAAGGCCCACCAAACGCCAAAGGCACCACGTCGGGAGTTTGGGTCGTACGAGGTCGTCTTTCTCGACGGTTCCCGCACGGCCTTGAAGAACATCGAAAAGAATAGGCAGAAGGTCTGCAGCAATGCTGGCTTCACGATGCCGACGGACTCGCCACGGTCGTGGTGCAAATGTGTCAGGATCAAGGCGACTTCAAAGTCTCTTGGATCGAGGGAGACGAAGTGACCGACGCAGCCTTGCGAATGTTCTCCACTGAAGAAGAGTTTGCTAGCTTACCCAGCGACACGAAGCTGTCGGACTGTGGCCACGACCCATTCTTTGCCTGGTTCTACCTGGGTGCGGTCGGCATTGGAGAGGCGTTTCAGTTTCGTGCCGGCGCCGACCTCATCCTCTGCGTACGTGTCGCCAATACTTTTGCTTGACTATTGTCATTATTCCTAGGTTGTGAGGTGTGGGCCTTGTAGCTCTCTCTTCTTTCTGAGCCTCCTTGGTTCCTTTGCTCCGGCTCCAACATTCCTTTAAACGCATCGCCGATCTTACGCCACAAAATGTCTCTGAGCCTCTCTTCAGAGCTGTGCCTCGAATTAGCTGATTCTCGTGGCTCAACGACATGTCTCCTTGAATGATGCTTTCTTGGGAGCTGTTGCACAGGAAGATCGTGTTCACTTCTTCGCTCCACTTCTCTATACTTCACTGACTGAGGAGTCTTCCTTGATTGTGGTTTGTGTTTGGTGTCTTGCATTGGGGGAGCTTCTCTCCGATTCCTTGCACGAATGATAACGCCTGAACTCGTGGACTGATCTGGGTAGAGAGTCGGTGGTGCGCGAGTATCAATAGCAGAGATTCTCGTAGATTTACGAGCAGCAGTCGGTCTTGAAATAGTCGTACCAAAAGCAATTGCTCCATTCTGGTATTTCGCCAAGTTGTCGTAGTCAGGCATCCTGGCGTGCTTCTGGCCTTTTGATTTCAGAGATTGAAGCTTTTGACAGTGCTGTGCGCGACTGTGATCGCACTCGAAAAAGACCAAGCCTTTGCTGTGGCGACTGTGCCACTTGCAGCCTTCAATAACCCATTCATAAGCGGAGCCGGGCTCGTTGTATCTGCGACTTAGATGGAGCAAGCACGGGAGTGAAACTGTTAGAATATCCAACCCACAGGGAATGGTGTCATGATGTCTACCGACGCAGCCATCCGCGGCTTGTGACTTTGGGTCTCGGATGATCGGATCGTAGAGCCCTTCACAAAACAGGACTAGGTGGACTTCATCTACCAATGGCTTCCAGCAAACCAGGTCTTTCAGTTGATGCCTCTTGAAGTTGTAAGACTGATATTCGTGGGCGATGTCGGCCAGCTCGTACCCAACCAGGTATTCCTTGAAGAAGCGCTTCAGCAAAGACCTCTGTCGCACGGTAACTTGAAGTGCTGCGTAGACAGATTGCAGATGGTCCTTGACTCGGTAAGGCACTTGGACCTCACCATCTTTGCTGTTCTGTGGTTGTTTAGCTGCGAGTGGATCTTGATAAGATTTCCGTATGGCATCGAACGCAGCTAGACCTCCATTCGCCAATGCCTCACAAGGAGCAACGTGGTACTGGGACAGTTTATGTACTTTGGCTCTCACCCGTCCAATGTGGAACACGACACTGATTAACGGCACCACATATGCGCGTCCTTCCTGGATGGAGTAGACTAGCGCAGGTGTGTCGATTATGCTTTCCATGTTGCCAATGAAATCTGACATGTAGATATTCCTGCGATTGTGGGCTATCTTGTAGGTCATGCTCGCATTAAAACTGAGTAATCTCGGTGCAGAAATTGAGGCGCCGAATGTGTAACCGTCTTTCTCGTATACGTCGTTGATGGTCTCGGTATCTCCCGGGTTTGTCCAGCGAACTTTGGTGATGTCAACGTCTTTGTTATACTCGGTCCCCAGGGTGACCAGCGGTTCGGGCCAGAAGCCCAGCAAGTGATCTTTTCCAATCGTGAGGCATTCGTTGAGGTCATTGAACCTCTCGCCACCTTGAAATGATCCAGTCGGCGGAAGTTCTCCCTTTTTAAGGTCTTGGAAATGCCATTGCATGGACTCAGACGTTGGTAAATATCTCGTAGGATAGACCAACGACCGTTGGCCGTACAGCGCAAACCCGGTTTCAGTATCAACCTCGTATTCCAACCCACAGATGAAGCATAGTAAATCCCATGAGATATTTAGCCCTAATGGTGAGTTTTCGCACACAAGGTTTCGTCGGCAGTCAATGGCCACGGCAGTATTCGGGAATAATGGGAGCCAGCATTGGGTATCGCGGTCCAAATTGTTGATCAAGGGCGAGATTACACTGCGGGTACAGTAGCTCAGTGTCTGATTCCCTCTACATTCGACAATGAAATCGACCATACTCGGCTTTTTCGATGGAGTCCTTGCTACGGCAGCGTGGACCCAGGCGACTGCCTCGCAGATTTCTGCCAATGTGTGTGGCGCTCCAACAAGGCGGAAATGTATCTGCGTCTCAATTTCATTCAACGAGACCTTGACCTGATCTATCTCACGCATTGGGCGAGTTGATGGTCGCGAGATCAAGGCGATGAGCAGTCTCAGAGTCGAAGATGTGTCTGGCCAAGTTTGTGTGATGTACTCCCCACAAGTCATGGCGCCGATACATTTGTCTCGTCCAACAAGCACTACGAGATCCCACAGAGAATCCCGCTCCTCCAGCTCTTCTCCGGTAAAATCTGCGATTGAAGTGGGTAGAAGAAGGCAAATTTCGAGTTGGGCTCGCGAAGGAAAATAGCGAAGTAAGATTTCTTGGAAATCAGGTTCAGAAAGTTTCACTTCCCAGCCCGATGAACCAACGCTCTCATCATCGGAGGGATCATCGTCGGCCTTGTCATCTTCAGTAGAGTTGCCGTCGGGAGAGTCACTATCGGCAGAGTCAACGCTGTCATCGTTGATAGGGCCATTGCGAGAAGTTTCAGTATCGGCAGGGCCAACGCTGGCATTATTAATAGGGTCATCGTCGGTAGGGTCATCGTCGGTAGGGTCATCGTCAGTAGGGTCATCGTCAGTAGGGTCATCGTCAGTAGGGTCATCGTCAGTAGGGTCATCGTCAGTAGGGTCATCGTCAGTAGGGTCATCGTCGGTAGTTTCATTGTCGGTAGTTTCATTGTCGGTAGTTTCATTGTCGGTAGTTTCATTGTCGGTAGTTTCATTGTCGGTAGTTTCATTGTCGG